ATCCGGAATTAACTGACGATATTAGGACAATACATCAATTATTACAACAATTTCAGTTTCATTAATTCAAAATTTAAGACAAATAGTTCCTTCACAAGTAGCCACATGGAAAAAACTGAGTTTTCATCTCAGTTTTCTCAATATTTGAGTTATTTTCGGATGATTTTTTTTAAACTCAATGAAATCATTGGAAATCTTCTGGGACCGATTAGGGTATGGAAAATATTCTGATCATATTGTCTTAGTAATGATCTTTGGATCTCTAAGCCTATCAAGCAACGAAATGTAATTGCATTCGGGCCACAGCCAAATTCATGTATTTCAATAAAATGAATTGACCAGCCAATTAATGAACTAATACCAAATTGTGATACATATTTGAATAGAGAATTTCAAGGCAAATAAGATATACATGGTGCCATACTGCCATATAAAAAAAAAGTTGGGTCTACTTCCGATCAAACAGGTGGTTGAAGAAAATTGTCATTAGGTTCAAAGGAGGCGCCATCATCGATAATATGACCCTTGTGAATTTCAAATTTTTATCTCTTGTGTCACCCAGTCTATTTACTGAAATTCACTGATGAGTTGTCAATTGATGACAAATCTGTTTGATCATGTAACCTGTCACACAAATGACCGCTGAGAGATCCGTTCAGAAGGTCGCCATACTATCTCCACACGACTTCCGTAGAAGGTCGCCTCGTGACGTCCCATCAACTTGATGATTCTGGCAACGCTGTGATGTTGACAAGGATACGGTCCGTGGACTCTGTCAGACATGCGTCGTCTTTCGTCCTTCATGGCACGTTAGCTCGTACAGTCGTCTTCAGAGATCATGTCGCGGTTGGACGGTGTCAGCTCTCTTATTGCAGGAGTTATTAAAAATGCCATCATCGTCCATGTGCGACATGTTTTCTGAAGACGACTGTACAGCCAAGCGCCAAGGCCTATGCAATATTTCCGCGATATTTCGTTTTCGAATAAGGGGAAAAGGGAATCTCCATGGTAGCCTGCTTAGCTCGTTACTGTCGGAAAATGTTCATTTCCTCCACTGGAATCGGCAATATTTGGGGAGTTAACGAGTTTTGTTTTCTTGTTTCCTGGTTTATAGTCTCAGAGGTTTTTCTGACACACCAATATACATCTCCAATTCGGAACTATAAACATGCTATGCACCTTTGAGAAGTTACCGTTTACGTATTACTAGCTTTATGTTATGAAAGAATCATTCCTAGCCCGTATCATAGGAAAATAAATATCTACTAGGGATTCTTTCATTTTGTTCACTCAAGACGTTCATTTCATTATGAAATGAACTTTCCCCCTATATGTATAGAAACACGTAAGTACACTCAAATATAAATAATTAATCAAGTGGGTCCATGTTTCTACATAGGTACTTACTTAGAAGTGTTTATATTTTTCGAAAATTTCTCATCACGTGATATATTAGGATTCATATATTTTTTTGATAATGTTTTGCGATAACATTGTGGAGGCTGACTTTGTTCAGAGAGTTTCACACTTCTCTGGTCCCCAATTGTATTGATATTCTTTCAATCTGAATTAACTGAAATATTTCACTTGAACTGAATTGAATCAGTTAATATGCGTTCTTTCAAATGACGTCCACTACATGTCAACTGATTCAGTTCAGTTCAAATAAAATGTGTCAGTTCGTTCAGAACGAAAGAATATCACTAATATCATCAATCATCTCAAACCGACTTTTCGCCTTTTGTGCTGCCATCATATAATTTGTTGACATAACCAGATGACAGTGGTTATGTCAACAAATTATAATTTTCAGATGTTAGTTCGCTATAGTTCTGGTTATATTATAGGGAGCTGAAAATTATGTATATCATGAAGAGTGGCTGAAAGAATAACTGGACTCCAGGTTACTGATGAGGATTTGATATCCGAAATGAGTTTCATTCGAGTGAAGTCATATATAACCTGTTTGTGAGAGATATAATTCCCATATCACTGATACGAATGATTTTTTTGGAAGTTCCAAGCTCATCAAGATCAGAGTTCATACAAGTATACTTCTCCTATACATTTCGATTTTCATTTCAATACTGAACATAATGGTAAGTTATATTTCCATATCATAATACATCATATTCTATTCGATTTGAGAAATAATGTCAATTCTCAATTTCAGAATATTTTGATTTTTCATGCTCTTTTTTGAATATTCAAGAGATATAAGTCAATGTTAGACGTGGCAAATAGCCAGGAAAGTAATTGTTTTCTGTTGAATATTCAGAATGATATTATGTGCATATTTTAATATGAAGGAGAATGCAAATTCTCTCCTTCAGAAGATTTTGTTTTCAAATTCTTATCGTGTGTGTTCAATAGATGTAATTCAATGTTCGTCGTGGCATATAGCCAGGAAAGTAGTTGTTTTTTGTTGAATAAACCAAAAAAGAATTAATATTTTCATCACATGGAGAATGCGAATTCTCAATGTATTTCTTTATATATACATATATTCATTTTTTCGTGTTCATGAATATATCTGAGAATATTTCTTTTCATTTCATCTCTCCTGAGTAAAATTTCTATTTCAAAATATTAATTTCTTGACAATGCCATTAATATGACGTTGGTTTTGAGAGATTGAAATCTCATATAATCCTTAATGAAAAATACAAGGCCATATTAAATTAAACTGATGATATCAGCAAAAAAGGCGAAAAGTTGGTTTGAGAATATGATAACCCCATCTTAGCTTATAGAACAGAAGAAGTATAGCATGTATAGCAATGAGAATGTATAATTTGTTTTGTTGCATCTATTCGAATAGAATAATAAAAAAATGAAAATGAATTCTCGAATATTTGATTTTTTCAAAAAATCTTCAGACAGTATTCAGAATTTTTGAAATTCCAAACGCCATTTTTCATGCTTGAAATTGCGCAACTTTGCTATAATTTAACCGACCCTGTATCTCTTATGGTAATAGGGTATACGCGTGTGAAAATTTTACACTGGAATATATTTTTGTTCCATTACTCATATGTATATATGTCGAATTATACATCCGAAAAACATTATTAAGCACCGAATATTTAATAATTTCTGATTGAAAATCATAATATTTCCAACTTTCCGACCAACAGCCGAACTGCAGCGATGATTTCCGACTGGATGTGGCTGTTTTTATTTGTCATGTCAAACATTCATGTCCGAAAGATTGATAATAATATAAGAAGAGAAAGTGAGGTTATGATTATCTGAGCTTGTAGTTTCTATAATCTATCTCAGTTATATGATCTCAATATTCTGAATAATAATAACTGAATTATAAGCAAATATCTACAATAAGAATGATCAAACAGGACTTCTTTTTGCATGTTGTTTCAAATATATATTACCACCCATCAATTTATATCTCATATAGTTTTCCATATCTTCTTCAAGCTGAAAACTAAATCACATATTATATTATTCTCCTAATAACATGAGGAACATAATCATTGATATATAATGGGTTTCACTAGGACATACTTGAACGTATAGGTTCTCACTTCGAAATGGTCTTCACAAACAAATCCTCTGGTTTCCTCGGATAAATCATTTCTATTCATGGCTCGCAACCATAATTTTCTTTTCTATTTATTTTTATCACTCGATCCCACTGGCAATGAAAGGAATATTTTTCCTGGTGATACTTTTGTTGATGAAAGGCATTGCGGCACTAAACAGTATTTGGTATAAACATTATCATTTTCAAATTTCAAATTTCTGGCGTTTGAAACTGTTTTCTCAGTGTTGCCAATAGCCAAGTTTAAAAACGGCCAGATGACGCTTGGAAAAAAGCTGAATTATGGCTAAAAACGAAAAAATTTTTTAGCCATTTTTTGGCTAACCTAGCAATTTTTTTCCAATTTTTCTAGCAAAAACAAAAAAATCAGACCGTGAACTACCATTCTGTAATTATTTTTAAGTTAGAGCCTAGATCTAGAGCTAGAATACTGACTCTAATTAGTAGTGACATTGACGTATGACGTGATGTGTTGACGTCACTGACGTCAACGTCAATGTTTCTTGGATTCATGCGCATGACAAAATGTTGAAATGAAGAACGCACCCAAGTTTTCAAAATGGCACAAAATATGGAGAACAAAATCCATAGAAATACAGACTGGTTTGAATTTTACTTACATTAGATAGTGAATACAATGAAGTTTCTATAGGAATATCATGAAAATGAGAATATTTTTATAGAAATTCAGAATAAAATATAGCTATAAAAAATGGCTTAATGGCTAAATGCGATTTTTAGTAGCTAGATGAGTTGAAAAATGGCTAGAACTAGCCATAAAATGGCTGAGTTGGCAGCACTGATAGTTTTCTTCTCCTACCTCTTCTTCTTCTTTTTTTTTCAATCTGAATCTTGTCATTCTGTCGCGCTAGTCTATGGCTGTGCGGCCTAATACTATGACGTCATAATATTAGTGATGGCCACTAACTCGTTTTCCTGTGACTTCATATTTAGTCTCATTTGAATGAAATTTTTTAGAGTCACAAGCAAATTTGAGATTAATGAATGATATCCAATGTTATTATAAGGAAGAAGGAATATAATTTCGATTAAACAAAAAATCATGCGTATTCCTTATTGAGATCCCATCATCAACCATCAACCAGATATATTAAACTTTGAATAATAAACCATAACTATTTGTTCGTTTTTCAATGTTATCAGTATGTTTACAATCAGAGATTGTTCAGTTTCTTCTGCACATCCTAGTTTCAACGGTTCAATCGGCAATTTCATCAGAGATGAGTTACCAGACTTCATGTACCACTTGTGCCAGTCCGTCACTGTATACAGATTAAAGTATCGATACCTCGACACTCGACAGTGTCGATTATCGATACTAAGCATCCCTCCTCTATTCTAGTCACAACTTCTTGTTCTATGGTGATGCCAGTTTTTGACATTTGATAATTGACACAGTGACAGTGAATGTAAAGATGACTGGTTGAATTTTGGATTTTCATTATTTCATTCTAGTTGAACAATTTTTCTAAAGACTGTTTTGCTACCCTTTTGTTCAACAATAATTCTTATTTCTTCAACATGGTAAGTGTTCACGTTACTATTTTAATACTCACTACCTACTTTATCATATTCCATCAAAATAACTGCTTCACAATTTCTCATTGTTTCAACAACCTACAATACTCTTCTTTGCGTCCTCAACAAAAATTCCTTCGGGTTCTAGGGTCAAAGCCAATCCGGCCCCGGCGGCAGTGACAAGAAAGAGGAGAAGGACAAGAAAAAGAAGTACGAACCGCCCATACCTACTAGGGTGGGCAAGAAGAAGCGGCGCACCAAGGGTCCGGACACCGCCTTGAAGCTGCCAGCGGTGACCCCGCACACGAGATGCCGTCTGAAGCTGCTGAAGCTGGAGCGCATCAAGGACTACTTGCTGATGGAGGAGGAGTTCATCAGGAACCAGGAGAGACTGAAGCCGCAGGAGGAGAAGAATGAGGAGGAGAGATCTAAGGTTGATGATTTGAGAGGTGAGAACTCAAGTTTCCAAGTGGGTGATTTTCAGTTTTTCATTTTGATGAACTTTCTCTCTGATGGAGCTGATCTTATAACTATGGAAGACCAGATTGTATTGAAAATGTACTATCCATCACCAATTTTGGTTAGGAAATTTTTCTTCTCATACATCTAATGGTCTGTTCATAGAATCTCATTTATATTTAATCTAATTCAACAGCTCTATTTTCCATAAGGAATGGACTAAATTAAATATAAGTTGAATAAAATTCTATGAATTCATCTTAGTGAAAGGAAAAACTCTTAAGATAGTTAAAATTGAATATAAATGAAATATTAGTTATTTCTATGAACAGACCATAATTCTCACAAAATTCTATAGTATTTTCTCAAATTTATCCTTCTGTTGTTTGCATCACATTGGTAGGTAATGGTAAATGTATCTTATTTTCAAGACAAGTAGAACTTTGATAATGAAATCAACCATACTATTTTGGATTTAATATCATCTGTGTGGTATATAATAATATGTATATATCAAGATTATTTTTTTAGGGACACCAATGTCAGTGGGTACACTAGAAGAAATCATTGATGATAACCATGCTATAGTTTCTACTTCAGTAGGCAGTGAGCACTATGTCAGTATCTTGTCATTTGTGGACAAAGATCAACTGGAACCAGGCTGTTCTGTTCTTTTGAATCATAAGGTAGGCACATTCAGGAAATAAATTTTGATGTTACTACTATTGATTTCCAGTCAGAAATTTGGTGAGGTGTACCATAGGAGACCATTTTATTCCCATTGTATTTTTTTGTATTGTATTATGTGAGTTATTATGGCCTATAAACAGTTTCAAACAACTTGTAAGCCCCAAAGGCCTAAAAAATCACTCTTCCTATTCACTACAGGTATGTCTGGTGTTTCACATTGGGTTTTCCTTTTGTCCAATCTAGAAAATAGAAAGGGATAGTGATGAATATAGCTCAATTTATTATTTGTATTAATTTTGATATATTTTTGGGTAAATTGTTTGCTTATATGAAGCTAATACAATCAATGAAATGAAGATTTGATTAAGGATTGAAATGATCTATATATTCATATATCTAATTGATATTGAAATAAAGAACAAGTGAAGGTTGTAGTGAAGGTTGAAATGAATAGTTGGAGAGCCGGTTGCAAGTTTGGATCTTCATCTGATATCAAAATAATATAATGTCCCAAATGCATGTAAAAATATTAAATTTTATTGAACGGCACCTGTGCCAATCATTATCCTGAGCAAAATGATTGGAGGAATGGCACTTTCCTGTGCGGTAATTTGCACTCAATTTCTCGATTTGATAACAAGTTAAGAATTATTCCATTGGATACCAATTGAATAGTAGATCTCAAAACCTTAACAGTGGCGCACCTTAATTTTCACACACTTTCATCATCTGTTTGAAGAGTTGAAACAAGAAGCAAATAAAAGGAGATAATGTCCCCTTCGCGAATATAAGATAATAATAATAATAGGATTTTATTGTCTCAAACTACACATGTTACATTTTACAATTCAGATATGGAGTTTGAAGACAAACGGCAGAGTTCGGTTCTGACGGTAAGATGAGTTACCGAGAGGACGCGCTCTTCCATCCAAACGTGCCGCGATTCAGACTGATCTAAGATAGTGGCAGTGCGTCAATATTTCCGAAAATATGTTGCCTTTGCCTGAAGATAATATCCGATGGACCAGTGTAAAACTCATGTCACCTCATGTGATGCTAACACTTCAAGTATTCAAATCCACATGTGCTTTGACTTTGACCAAATTTTTATTCTTCCTTAATTTTTGTGTATTTGCCAGTGAAAAAAATAGTATATACACTTCAGAACAGAATGCTATTTTTCCCTTGGTGCTTAGTATCGCTCGGACTTCGCCCTGGAGCTACAAATCGCACCTTCTAAAGATTCTTGCATTAATTTATAATCTATACTAATATTATGGAGAGGAAAGATTTGATAGTTTGTTCGTTTGTTTGTATGTATGTATTGAATAGGCTCCGAAACTACTGGATCGACTTGGCTGAAAATTGGTGGGTAGGTAGCTTAGAACCAGGAGAAGGTTGTAAGATACTTTTCAAGATGGCGGATCTAATATATCGGACGAGTTTTGTAAAATTATGGTCCGATTCAATTCAAAATTGGTATCTGGGGGTTTTCGGGGTCGGAGATTATGATTCTTCCGTCAGAATCTGAAAATTCTGGCGGAATTTGGAAATTCAAGATGGCGGAACCAATATGGCGGACGAGTTTTGTAATTATAATCCGATTCTTTTCAAAATTGGTACCTATAGGGGTTGTCGTGATCGGGGATTATGATTCCTTCGTCAAAATTAAGATATTCAAGATGGTGGATCCAAAATGGCTGATTTTGTAATTAGGATCCGGGTTTATTCAAATTTGGTATCTGGTGGTTCTCGGGGTCGGAGATTATGATTCTTTCGTCAAAATTGGGAAATTCAAGATGGCGGACCCAATATGACGGACGAGTATTGTAATCATGATCCGGGTTTATTCAAAATTGTTATCTGGCTGTCTTCGGGGTCGGAGATTATGATTCTTTTGTCAAAATTCAAGATGATAGATCCAATATTGCGGACGAGTTTTGTAATTATGTTCCCATTCTATGCAAAATTTTCATCTGGGATTTTAGGAGTCGGATATGATTCTTTCGTCAAAATTGGGAAATTCAAGTAAACTAACCGGAAACAAGAATTTCATCTCTCCATTCTGTATCAGAAGGAACCATAGAAGAACACAATACAAACACTCGGAGCACACTTTATGGGAGAGACTATAGTGCGATGATTCAGTAGACATTTCCACCTTGATAGATACCAGTTATATGACTTCTTTTTTTTTTTAGAGAAACTGTCATTTTCTTAAGAATAATCTTTATATGGATATATAAAACCTGTACTGTGGCTGAAGGACCTCGATCGATGGCCTTTTGAAGATTTATAATCAATAAAGTTCATTTTGTTGTTGTTGTTGTTGTCAAGTAAACTAAAAAGAAGTTGAAATAAATGGTAGTTTGAAGAACTAAAGAAACATGCTTTAATAGATAGCAAAACCAAAAAGATGTAGAAAATAAAATAATAATAGTGTCTTGATGAATATTGAACTGAAAAATTATATTATTGAAATAAAGTAAATAGCAGGCCTGACAAACATTTTGCGAGGCCTGCTAGTGTACTATATTTTCGAGAAATATACAAATTCAAGGTATATTCTCAGGTGCATGCGGTAGTTGGTGTCTTGGGGGACGACACCGACCCCATGGTGACGGTGATGAAGCTGGAAAAAGCCCCCCAAGAAACGTACGCCGACATCGGCGGGCTCGACACGCAGATCCAGGAGATCAAGGAGTCGGTCGAGCTGCCGCTGACCCACCCCGAGTACTACGAGGAGATGGGCATCAAGCCGCCCAAGGGGGTGATCCTGTACGGCCCCCCCGGCACGGGGAAGACGCTGCTGGCCAAGGCGGTGGCCAATCAGACGTCGGCGACGTTTTTGCGGGTGGTCGGGTCGGAGTTGATCCAGAAGTATTTGGTGGGTTGCAGAAAATCATGATAATTTCATTTTCTGAATTGATTGAATTTGGTGGAAGGTGCTTTTTACTATAACATTTTTTTTTCATTGCTGTAGGGCGACGGCCCAAAACTAGTACGGGAGTTGTTCAGAGTAGCTGAAGAACATGCTCCCTCCATAGTGTTCATAGATGAAATAGATGCTGTAGGAACGAAACGGTACGATTCCAATTCTGGAGGCGAACGTGAAATACAGAGAACAATGTTGGAACTGTTGAATCAACTTGACGGCTTCGATTCCAGAGGAGACGTAAAGGTGAGAGAATTTTTCAAGTGCAAATTGACGCTTTTTCAAATTTTGAATTTTTTTATAGGTTATAATGGCTACGAATCGTATTGAAACTCTGGACCCAGCTTTGATCAGGCCGGGTCGTATCGACAGAAAAATCGAGTTTCCTCTGCCGGACGAGAAAACCAAAAGAAGGATTTTCAACATCCACACCTCTAGAATGACCTTGGCCGAAGACGTCAATCTGCAGGAACTCATCATGGCCAAAGATGATCTTTCTGGGGCCGATATCAAGGTAATATTCAATCTTTTTCCTGTAATCAGAGATTATCTGTAATCAATAGTTTTAGGACAGCTTCTCATATTGATGGACACCTGTTGATATTTATTCATATAGAGATTAAATGCCTATAAACCTAATATTCATTTTGATTCATTGTTAGATGGCTACAAATCAAATTCTAGTTCGGGAAACTGTGAAAAAAACACCAGTGAAATTTTTAGGCACTTGTATAGTTCCAATGAAGTTATTCAAAATGTAGGCTGCCTTTACCTTTAAATAATATTCACAGTTATGGCTTTAAAATATCATATAGTAGCAATCAAACATTTTTGCTAATGATTTGATCTTCTTTTTTTTCAGGCTATTTGCACTGAGGCTGGCTTGATGGCTCTTCGTGAACGCAGAATGAAAGTAATGAATGAGGATTTCAAGAAATCCAAGGAAAGTGTTCTGTACAGAAAGAAAGAGGGAACTCCAGAAGGCCTGTACCTTTAATTAATACTTTTTGTTGTAATCCAATGATACTTTTTCTTGTGAAGATATTTGTCTATAAAAAAAAATTAATAATTTATTTATGTTTGCCTATTTTATTAATGTATAAACTTTTTAAGTACCATTCAAGGAAACAATATTCATAGTAATGGTCATCAAACTTTTTATTTTCATTGTGGTGACTTAACAATTGAAAAAATCTAAGGAGCTTTAAAATCCACCACTTTCTTCATTGCTGATTGAGGCAAGTGTTCTGACATTCTCTTCATAAACTTTCTTTTGGATTGCTACAAGTTTTTCAATATTGTCCTCTTCATCCAATGATTTTCCACTTTTACAGACCTCACAAGAGCCTCTACTGAGTTTTTCCAGTAAAGGATTTGTTTTTATTTCTGTTGAAGTTTGTTGGGATTCAGCCCTAAAAAAATGTGGCATAGAACAATTCAGGGCACTGATGTATGTTCTTTCAGGGCACTCACAACAAAATTCCCTTGTGTTTCCCAAGAAGAAAACCATTTTTGAAACCTTCCTGGAAACCTGTATCAAAACTTTTTTGGTAGTTGCTGTCTCGTCCATCTGAGATCCCATCTCTCAAGCCAGTCTATATACAAAATGAAGATAAGTCAACTCAACTGAAACGTTCATTTCAGATAGATTTCAGTAATAATGAGCTGTTGATGAAACATAAGTACCTACCTGCCTGGAACTGTTTTCAACTTTCTTCCAATCCTGTTCAATGTCAGACAGTTCTTGGGTCTCCATTTCGAAGTTTAGACTATAAAAATTGATCACATCATCAAATTTTGCAGGAATGGCGAAATTTTTACCAAAATCACCTCCCTATTAAATTATTCACCAGGGAAAATGAAAAATAAACAAAACAAATTTTGAGGTTATATACATGACAATGACAGAAACATCTTTTCATTTGCGGATTTCACACCGATTTCAGCAGTTGAAAATCACTAGCTAAGTGACAGCTGAAACAATTTTAGCAGACAATGCTGTCACCCTTCACTGCTAGATGACTTGATTTTTGTTTTTATTTGATTGATTTGTTTACAATTTGATTGATTTGTTTACAACTTGAAAACTTCTTAATTTTCCAATAATAATTGATTATTATTTCTATCTTGTAATCTCAAGTGTCCACGTATTCAGCTTTACAGACTTATAGGATTGCAGAGTATCAAAAAACCGAACAAAAAACGCAAACATGGAAAAAACTGGACTGAGTCCAAATGATCCCAGTTCATTTTCAAGACCTGGTAAGCACAAGTTTATAATGATAAATCATTCATAATACCAACAATGCCTAATTATTCCAGAACTTGTAACAATTAGGGACATCTGTCTCAATCTCAACATTAATTTTGATAGCAAAATCCTTAGTGGAAATGTAGTTCTAACTGTGGAAAAACTAGATGAGAGTGCTACTGAATTGGTTCTTGATTCATTTAAGTTGAACATATCATCTGTATATGACTCTGAATCAAGCAATAAATTGCAGTATGAGTTGTCAGACCATATACCTGACTATGGATCAAAACTGACCATCCAACTTCCTAGTGCAGAGACCAATCAGTGAGAAACACCAAGACTGATGAGTATCCTAAAGTGTTGTGTCATTTTTGTTATTTCAGTTTCAAGATTGGTATTGATTACCAGACCAGTCCAGAAGCAAGTGGGCTTCAATGGCTTTCTCCCAAAGCCACAGCAGGGAAAAAACTTCCATACTTGTTCAGTCAATTCCAGGTATAAAAATCCTACAACCTCACCTATTTCAACCTCAATTATGCCTTCATTTTGCAGTCTTCACATGCTAGGTCTGTTATACCTTGTCAAGATACCCCAGGTGTCAAACAAACATACAGTGCATCAGTGAGTGATGATAACTTAATCACAAATATATTATTTATGAGCATATTCTATTAGATTTCAGCCCCACCAGAGTTCACAGTGCTTATGTCTGCAATTTGTAATGGCACAAAGACCCTGCAAGCTGGGAAGTTGTCACATTTCATTCAAAAAGTGCCTGTACCTTCTTACTTGATAGCAATAGCTGTGGGGGCCCTGGAATCCCGGAAATTGGGGCCCCGCTCACATGTGTGGGCAGAAAAAGAGATTATAGACGAGTGTGCATATGAGTTTGCTGATACTGAACATCAGTTGAAGACTGCTGAGGATATTTGTGGGCCCTATGTGTGGGGTATATATGACTTGTTGGTGTTGCCTCCAAGTTTTCCATATGGAGGTATGGAAAATCCATGTTTGACTTTTGTTACACCAACTTTATTGGTATGTATATGATTTTTAGTTGGTAAGTTTTTGCTTACATTTCAGTTGGTAACCTTTTGGGTTTTGATTCTCACAGTTGAAAGATAAACACTTGAAAAAAATTTTTTTGACAATGATCATGGGCAAAAATTGCATTCAATTGTTATTATCTATTTCAGGCTGGTGATAAATCTTTGGCCAATGTTGTGGCACATGAAATAGCCCATAGCTGGACAGGAAATTTAGTGACCAACAGAAACTATGAACATTTCTGGCTCAATGAAGGGTTCACAGTATTTGTTGAGAGGAAAATTCAGGGCAGATTGACATCTCCACAATCTCAAGATTTTGATGCTTACACCAGTATCAGTGAATTGAAAGAAACGGTAAATAACTACATAAAACATAATTTCCTTGAGTTGGTAGATTTGGTACTAATTGTCCTATTCACATTTCTGTATCAAAATCCTTGTTGAGGTCATAATTCATTCATCAAGTCCTTTTTCAATTACTTGTATTACTTGTAATTTTGCTGCTTCTGTACCACTATTTTCTTGAAAACCATATTCATTTATATCAGAGGGTTATATTTATTTGTGGAATCTACAATGCCTTCCTCAAGTATTTTTTTGACAATTTTGGAAACAATGGTTAGGAAATCTGAGTAGGTACTCTGCCATCACTACAGGAAACCCCATTTTTGTCCAAAGCCATGTGATTCGGCAGAACGTCACGGATTCATCACAAAATCGTCAAGCATTCGTCAAACGAGCGACTCACGACAGTTGCGGACACTACATCCTACATCCAACCAATCAGGTATTATGTTCAGGAATAGATATGTGGACCAATCAGACCTATATTTTCTACATTCTTGATGACGACCTCAAAGATCATCCCCTCTCCTCCTACATCACCTCTTCTCTTACACCACCTCTTCTCCTACATCTCCTTTTCTCCTACCTCTTCTCCTACATCCCCTATTCTCCTACATCCCCTCTTCTCCTACATCCCCTATTCTCCTACATCCCCTATTCTCCTACATCCCCTATTCTCCTACATCCCCTATTCTCCTACATCCCCTATTCTCCTACATCACCTCTTCTTCTACATGATACCTGAATGGTTGGAAGCAGAATGTTGGATGTAGTGTGCGCAACTGTCGTGAGGCGCTCGTTTCATCGAAGATGATCAAAGCCTTGAAAACATCTAAAGAGGTTTCTGATTGGTCTTCCGAGCAACGTGGTTTTGGACAAAGGTGGTGGGGTGGGGTTGCCCTGTAACGGCGCAGCCTCTGACAATGAGGTAGTTTCTTGGATAGTTTTCCTCTGAACGAATTGTCTTAAAATTATTATTCAACTATCTAGTATCATATCTGTGCTGATTTTGCTACGATCTGGAGATATTAAATCTCTTCAACATTTCAACAGAAAATCAAATTAGAATGATCAACCTTAAAAACGAGCTGTCAGCATTATTGTTATTTTCTACATTGCCGAATCATTAGTTTTGTCGGTAAATCTTGTAACGCTGTACTTGCTCAAAACGGCTTGCATTTTTAGCTGTGCCTACATCATGAAATTGGTGGAGGAGCCGGAACTATATTTTCACGAATTTTTCCTCAACTCAAATTTGATCGCAGGAAAAAAATAAAATACAGGGGGAATATATTGGATCTCGAGAGTAGTAGAAAATTGTGATGCTGGGGTTGTGAATTTAAGCAATTGGTGCAGCTTTTGTATTACGCCAAGTGACAGATTCAAAATTCCAAATGGGACAACCTATATATTTTGGCATTTCTATGTTACTCCCAATGAAACAATTCCATCAAACTGTCACACTTGTGGTATAAAACGATTGATTTAAGAACAGGTACTTCTATATCTTTCGTCCCACGACGATTATGCAAACGTCTGAAACGATGTATCTCGTTGGCATATATGTATATACCAACTTGATATCGACCTCCATTGAAGTTCTTCAGCCTTATCATTCAATATTTCGAGAAGAAATAATTTTCTAATCAATTCATCGTATCCTTTTACCAATGCCTTTTACCCACTCGAGGAGACGCTATGCACTCTTATACAAAAATCAAAGACAGAGAAAGATATATGGATGTACTCTTCCCAGGACTTGTGGAGGAAGGAAGATGCGAGGATCATTTATCTAAGCGAAAAACATATTCTTGTCCTTGTCTGGCAAAACATATGATCTGCTTCAAAATCGTTTGTGGAAATGTTTGATTGTCACTGCTTGTCTAGTGTCCGTACCACTATGGTCCGTACTTTAATATTAAAAAAACGTCAAAACAGCAGTGTCAAGTACATTTAGGAACTCTAATACTCATACTTTATTAATAGCAAAACTTAGTGATATGGGTATAAATCTTGGTTTGGTAGCATGGATTGAAAGTTTCTTAGTTGGTCGTCAACAGCAGGTGTTTTTTATTTAACGTAATTCGAGTACTGTCAGGAGTTCCTCAAGGCTCTCACTGTGGACCGTTACTTTTCAATTTGTTTGTCAACGATATTAGCAAATATATTTTTCACTCTGTTTTTACATTATATGCTGCAAAATATATAAAGAAATTCAGCATCATATGGATATTGATCTGCTGCAATCTGATTTGAATAACTTCCATGTCTGGTCTAGAGTTAATTACTTGGACCTCAATATTTCAAAGTGTTTTTGTATCACTTTCTCAATGGGTCATAATTATATTGAAAACGCTTATAGAATAAATAACTCTGTATTGAAGAGAGTCAATGAGATAAAGGACTTAGGCATAATATTCGATATTAAACTAACTTTTAGAAGTCATATTACTAAGGTAGTGAACACTGCATCAAGGAACTTAGGTTTTATTACTAGGAACAGTAAACAATTCTCTCCTGAAACACTTAGTTCACTTTATTGCCATCTGGTTAGACCTTCACTTGAGTATGGTTCCATCATTTGGAGGCCTTTTTATCAAATACATATTGATAGTTTAGAGCGAATTCAGAAAAGGTTCCTGAGAACATATTCATATCGCAAGAGTTATCATGTTGCTCATATAAACTACCCAGATATCTTAATGGAGCTTAATCTACTAACTTTAGAAAATCGTAGATTAGTGTTGGATATGTGTTTCCTATATAAATTGGCCAATGGCCTTATTAATTCTCCAGATCTGCTTAGTTTGATTAGATTTAATACATTGACCAGAACAAGAAATCCTCCTTTATTTTCCTTGACTTTTCACTCAACGAATTATGGCAACAATAACCCTATTTCAAGGCTACAAAGGAATTATGTTGTTCTTCAAAATCATTGTGACCTATTCTGTGGCAGTCTAGGTAAATTCAAAACTAATGTTGTGAAAACAATTAGGAATACCTGATTAATATAATAAGTGCTACATTTCTATGAGTGTAATTTTCATTGCTCCTACTATTATTATTCATATTTTTGTTGTAATTTTTTTTTTTATAAAAATGGTGTAACCGTTGAAATAAATAAATAAATAAATAAATAATTGTCGCCAGATCGACCGACTCGGCGTGGACAGCCCCCTCACCCGGCTGGTGGTGGACCTGAAGGGCGTGCACCCGGACGAGGCCTTCTCGACGGTGCCCTACGAGAAGGGCCAGACGTTCCTCAGGTGGCTGGAGGCGAGAGTCGGCGGCCCCGAAAAGTTCGAGCCCTTCCTGCGGGAGTATTTCGAGGAGTTCAAGTACCGGTCGATCGACACGTCGGACTTCAAGGGGTTCTTCGAGAAAAGGTTTCCGGAGTGCGGGGATGTCGATTGGGACACCTGGTTGTACAGGTGAACAATAGTTATTGTACATTTTCTTATGTCAGGTTTTTCCACAGAACTAAAACATAGAGAAGGAAATAACAAATCCCAGTTGTTTTCCTAATAGGAGATCAAATAGGTCGCGTGCACGATGACCGACCCTGGAGGTAAAATATTGAAACACAACCTCACTTTTTTATTTGTTTACAGGGGAATCAAAGGTTGAAACAGTTTTTTACAGTATTCTGTCATATGAATCGTGTTTTTTGCGCTATTCATCAATTCAAGCATGCCTTCGCATTGTGCTGTTGTAAAATGCACAAAACATACAGCGAGAGACGAAGGAATATAATTTTTCAGCTAAATAATAATGTCACATAGTGTTCTTTATGAAATTTTGTCAGCTAATTCTGCTGTAAGATTGAAAATGTCTACAACACACACGATCATATTTCGTCAGCATGTCAGACCAGTCCTCCAGTTTGATTGCATGAATCCAATTTTCTTGCCTTCTTTTAGAAATTTCACGAGTATTTCTATTAGTTTCTATTGCAGAAGGAATTCCGATGAGAAATCAGAGAAATTACCAAATTACAAAAATGAAAACTATATGTGAGTGACTATAGTAGGTACTTACTTTCGAATCATAATGTACCAACCGGATTCCTTCGTCTCCCGCTGCATCTTTTGTGCATTGTACAACAGCACAATGTGATGGCATGCGCGAATTAATTAATGAATAGCCGAAAAACCAGAATCGTATGCCAAAATAATTGTGAAAAGCTATTTCAATCACTTGTAAACAAATAAGAAAAGTGAGGTTGTGTTTCAATGTTTCACCTCCAGGGTCGGTCATCTGACAGTTCTTGCACGCAACCCATATGGCGGAGATAACCCTCTTGTCAGGTCTGCGCACTGACTCGTGCTCAGATACGGCGTCATTTCAATTGTTGCCCCACAGCAGTTGTTTAAATCTGAATTTGCTTCGACCCAAGTTATCGGAATGGAAAATCAATCACAGTTTTTTTCCGGATAAAGAAAATGAAATCAAAATTATATGCCTATCACTGAAACACAACATTCCTACAATCGTTTTCAACTGTTTTTCGTTTGAAAAAGAGAAGGTACCAGGTTCAAGTTATAATTTTTTCAAAAAACGGAAACCAAAAGATGAGGAATTAAATTCAAGCATGTTTTGGATTGATCTAAGCTGTCAGATGACAGACGACAGACTCGCAATTGGCACCCTATTGGTTCTCCTTGCTGGAACAAAATCATAAGACAGTTTAATTTGAAGTTGCTGGGAATCGAATTAATCGCGTTCTGAAATCAGCATATTCCATTCGATTTTTAAAAAAGCCGCCAGATATGGAGGTGGAGCTGTGACGTATTAGTCCCGTACTGTAGCTGTATCTCTCTCTGATACCTTACCATTCTACAGTGTTGCAGTGTGATTGGTCAGCTCAAGGACAATAGGCGTGTTGGGACTAATACGTCACAGAAGTCCCACCAATGAATTGACAACATTTCAAATGGCGCAGGAAGAGTGTGTTTGAAATGAACATATTTTAGATTATTTTTTTATTGCTAGTATGAATAAATAAAATCAAAATTATATTTTGACTGGTAGTTTTTTTGGTATAGAGCTCAAGATGATGTCGTTTGAAAAAATCAGTGGTCTTCCTTCAATATTCTGTGGTATTGCCCAAGAAATTGATTTCTGTTAGTTATTTTCTGAAGAAACTCATTCCCAACCAAGGGAACTAGTGAATAAAGATCTCATATAATAACATAACCTTATCGAAACTCTTATGGAATTAATCATTCCATAATTACGTCATTTGACTTTAAGAATTAGTGGGATTGTTCTCCTTGGATCCCGAGTTGGAACCCAAATGAATTTCATGATTTTATTTGGTGAATCTGTTCTTGTATTCTGGATGTGGGCAGGACTATGCCCATCAAAGCTAACCTAAAGAATAAGTTGGATGCCCTCCAAGATGCCGTGTCAAAATGTGTCATAATTTGACTTGTATTCTGGATCACACTATCAGAAGGACATAAGTTCCAACAATATTACAAAGCAAAACATTGGTGCAGAAAATACATACAAATCGTGATATGATACGATTTCTATTCGCGGTTTTCAAGGTCCTCAACTGTTGCAATGACGTTAGAACTGGAAAAAAACATGTCTAACTGTCAGGAAGCCAGGAGTTAGGAATGTTTTCCCCCCGTTTTAACGTCATCGCCACGTCAGACCTTGAAAACCGCTAATAACATTTTTTTTCTGTGACGGGAAAAAAAGTTTGAGATTTCAGTACTTTTGTTTGTTATATATTTTGTTCTTTTTGCATTGTATTATTCATCATTATTAAACGTTTTTGGTCACAGTCCTGGAATGCCTCCAGTGATCCCCCAGTATGACACTTCTCTGGCGGTCATTTGCGACACATTGCTGGACAAGTTCTACCAGTGGGATGGAGAAGGTTCCCTACCGATTTCGGAGGAAGATGGTGGCAGTTTGAGCACCAATCAGAAAATTTACTTCTTTCAGAAAATTTCCGATCAAGAGGCGCAGCCCATACAAAAACTGATTCTTCTGGAGAAACTCTTCAACTTGGACAAGGTATGCTCTGATCCAAATTATTTTCAAACATTCTCGAAAATTATCACTATTATTGTTCATAAATATATTGTTAATGCGCGATGTTTCATTGACGTTTTTATGATGTTTCTGTGATAATTCTATGATGTTTCAGTGTCGTTTCTATTAGGTTACCAGAATGTCTAGTATTTTGACTTCAAATATATGTCTCATTAATGAAGGCGAGTTATTAATAAATACTTGTTTATGGGTTGAACATTTTGAGATATAAATCTCCTTTGGCTGAGATGCATGCTGTGATGCTTAAATGGCTTTTTGTAGTTGTTTGAGTGACATTTTTATGATGTTTCAAAGACTTTTATTATAATTTATTGTGACGTTTCAATGTTTTCGTGATGTTGATGACGTTTTCATTTTGTGTCTTAGATGTTTTCAATTTTTCCTTGAGATATATGTAGCCATCGACAATTTTTGTAGTTGAGAATGCCGAATTCAAATTTGTCCAACTATAGGTATGCCTGAAGTGGTGCTATAATGCTCGATGCTTCAATGACGCTTCAGTGATGTTTCAATGTGGTCTCAATTCCGTTTTTGTGATGTCTCAATAACATCTCTGGTATGCCTGAAGGGGTGCTATAATGCTCGATGCTCCAATGACGCTTTAGTGATGTTTCAATGTGGTCTCAATACCTTTTTTGTAATGTCTCAATAACATTTCTGTTGTTTCCAGAATGTCTATAATTCTGAAATTCTTGACATACGTCGTAGCCATGGAAACGAAATTTTATGTACCTACTCGTTTTGTGATTAACGATACCAAATCCAAATTCCGCTGGTCAAGAATGTACCTGAAGGTTTCTGTTTTTTATTGACGTTTCTCAAAGGTTTTCCAATTATCTTCATGCTTCATTGACGTTTACAATAATATATTTTTTCAGTGATGTAAGCGTAAAATTGACGTTAATATGATGTTTCAGTGACGTTTCTGTGATAGAAAAATAACAGAAACGAGATGAAAAACGTTTCTGTTATGTTTCCGTTATGTTTCTGTTATGTTTCAAGCTCGTGAGATATGTCCTTGCAATCAAGGCGAGTTTTCATGTCCTTAATATCTGATGGAGACGCGCCGTGATGCTTCAATGACGTTTCTGTGACGTCTCAATGATGTCTCATGATGTTTCAAAGAGGTTTCACCCATGTTTTCAGATGAAGAATGCCGAGATCAAATTTCGCTGGCTGAGAATTTGCTTAAAGGCTCGATGGGAGGACAAAGTACATGATGTCCTCACCTGGATCAACATTGTCGGCAGGATGAAGTTCGTCAGACCGTTGTACAGGGAGCTCTTCCAGTGGGAGGCGACGAAGTTAAGAGCAATAGAGAATTTCAAGGCCAACAGGCGCAACATGATGCACGTGACCGCTTTCACGATCGCTAAGGATTTGCGTTTGGAGGAATGAAAAAGTACGTGATTTTATTCATTATGTTACAAGGCTGATCGTTCGCTGAGCTTTATTTTAGTATTATGGCAGTTTATTATATCGAATAAATACATTTATCTGTTGGAAATTTGTTGCGTTTGTTTGTATGTTTGTTTTGGCCAAAATGGGGTTTGACCACATAGTGAAAATTATATAAAATGTTCCAAATGTGATGCAGCATTAAGAATAGATAGATTATTCGTTTTGCGTTAGATATTGATAAGTTTCTATCACCTCAAGGGTGCTGTTGAATAAAGGCAAAATAATAAACCAGTTTTTGCCCAATGCTGTCTTTTATTGCAATATTTCATTAAGTTATTGACAATATCAATGTGATAAATTATTGTTATCTCATCACCCAGAACACCGACAAATACAGGTTATACAAAACAATAAAAATGTAACAGGTGCTTAATAGGGGCGTTAAAAACATTGCGCGAATCATGTATTGAAATAGAATAAATCTGAATTTATGTTGTGAATTTGAATGCTTTAATATTTTCAATAATATGGTGGTAAGTCATAGTTCCTTTTGTTATTTATTGAATTCGAAAGATTCTTCGTTTGTCGTGGTAGTGAAAAATTTTTTCTTTAAAAAACCATTTGAATATATATTTATAAAATTCTGTGATGATATTATGATAGGGGAAACAGGTACTTCAGAATTTCATGAGGATTTCTACAGAAACAAACCAATAATATTTATATTCCAGGTTTTTGGTTTCTGCATTTTGTTTTCGTGGACTATATTGTACAAAAAAATGAAAATCCGGTCATGTCTAACTTTTATTAAGGAAAGAGTGTACCCTGGTTCCCTTCATATTTTTCTTTTACCTTGCATTAAACATCATTCAAATCTGAATATAAATTATTCTTCGTTGATATCTACAGATATTCAGAAATCAAATTAACTCCGGCATTTACAAATATTCTCTTTGTCCTAAGATCTTGTGCAGAATTGATATTCAATATGAAATAATCCTGTTCGAATGGGACAAATTTCACAAGATTCTATTTATTGCCACAATTGAAAAAATGTCAGCCTTCTTGATGAATAATGTTGGAATATTTTGAATAGTGAACATATATAAAATCATAATCTCCATCAACGGTTTCATATAAAACTCCGATAATATTAGCTTTAACTCATTATTGAATAGTTTGAACAAATCTGAAATGGCATGTCGCCATACATACCTAAACATTGGAACCATGGAGTTGAAAACTCGAATGTGATTCTTCAAATAATAATATCGTTCTAGGTTAAAATAGATAAATCTGTGACACAGAAAATACATTGTACCGAGGCCTTAGCAGGTTTCGTTTGAGTTATAGGCACCGTCATATTCTTGACCCTGTTTAATTATTTATTAAATTATGTAAAGTATACAGGTTTTCATCAAATATTAGTTACAAATATATTTCGAATTTCATCATTCACAAAGGTTAGTGACCTGTATCTGAAAGAGATAAACTATTACATGTATCAATTTATTTCTGTACTATGAAAATACTCAAATTAAATAAAAATAATCAAATTCGCTGCCGCCAAGATCAAGATGACGTCGCGATGACTTTTCAAACTACGGGTGAACATCGTAACTCTGCGAATTAATATAAATGATCAAGATACCTTAAAACCAAGAATAAAATATGGAAATAGAGTTGGTTAAAAAAGATCATCGATTTTTTATTGCATTTTCTATAATCCAGCCCCTAACCTGTTTCTGAAAGTTATAATTATTAGACTTATTGTTGATGGAATTCTATAATAAATTTCAGATCCAATAAAACTAGAAAGTTTATTATTTCAAGTCGCACACAACTGCTATTATTGATTTTATTCGTTATTGCAGAATACTTTTGGGGGACATGATTTTGTTTATTGCAACAAATAAACAATTTTCATCCTTCTTGATAAATAATGTTACAGTATTTTGGATAGTGAACATAAAATAATAATTCTGGTAATATTCAATCTCATCTTAGCTGGTGGGGTGCTCCACCCTGGGTTGGGGATCAGTAGATTGCACCGTAGCCTTAGCAGGTCCCGTTTGAGTGATGGGCACGGTCCTTTCAGTATTCTGAACCCTCTCGCCTTTTCTGGGCGCGCTGACCGTTAAAATGCCGTCGGATGACAGAGAGGAAACGACGTTCTCGACGTCGTGCGTTTCCGGTAAGAGGTAGCGTCTGGTGAAGTGACGCGAAATGAAACCGTGTTCGTCCTGCTTTTCTTCGTGCTTGCCTTCCACGACGATGCTGTTGCCGGTGGTTTTGACGACTATTTCGTTGGGGGCGAATTGTTGCACGTCGAGGATCACCTGGAAATAATAATAACAATAATAATGTAAAAACTTCACAAACGATAAGATTTCCACAAAATTCTCAAACACACGACATGTTTCGCTAACACAGTTGGTTCGTCAGGTGATATACTGGTAAAATGAACTGAACTAATCTTGGCTTGCTCAACTTATATCTCCTAATTTCCCAATCTGAAATCCAATTTTATTTTGATAAGAAACTCAGAAATTCATGGTCATCACACGAGACAATCAAACTTATTTCATCTTGATTCTGCTACTTCTATAATTGGCAAAAAAAATTTAATCACGCTGCTCTAGCTGAATTTAATAAATTACCACATAATATAAAAAATTGCAGACATATTTCAAAATTAAAGTTGAATTGAAAAAACACATGATTTCATTACAAAATTGAGAAAATTTATTCTTTGCCATCTACTGATTAGTCCCTGTGGCTATTTTTATGACTTGATCGATAGCATTTTTAATTTTTTTTGATTTTGTTGTTGTTGTTGTTGTTGTTGTCACCTTATATATTATTTTATTATTGTTGTTTGTAATCAACTTCCTCATACCAGAATTTTATTTCTGACTGGAAGCTAGTTTTCGAATAAACAATAAACAATAAGTTACCTGTGGATAGGTCCAATAAATCTTCATTTTCAGAAATTAGGCACAATATCTTGTTTGTTGATTTCTATAATGATTCAAAATGATTGTGTTTCATTCCTTTATTTTCTACGTGTTGAATTTCGAAATTGTCATCAAAAATATGGTTTTTTTCTAATATATGGTTGGCGTATGTTGAATTTGTTTTCTATTTCAAAAAATTCATCTTATGTTCATGAATACGCTGATTGAACGTACGGCCGGTCTGTCCGATATATACCTTATGACAAGATCCACAGTTGAAGGTTTGTGGAAATGTTCATCATTAATTTTACTTATTTTCAAATCTAAGAAATTGATTGAGTTTTCTGTTTCTATTTCCATTGTGAATTCAATGTTTGGATGAATAGTATTGATATATTGACTTTGATATTGGTGAAAAGTGTCTAATTGTCTATTGGTTCCTCAAAAGCATACTATAACGTAATCTACGTATCTATACCAATACAAAAAGTTATCCATGAAAATTTTAGCAAGCAAAGGACTCAGTGGATTTCCCATAATCAAATTGAAAGTAATTTTGAAAGCATGTATAGCATGTATTCGATTCATATCTATTATAGTAAATTATTTTCAAAGCTGAACCTCTCAAGGATTTTGAGATATTCTAGAAAATCTGAAAATATAATGATTGTTCATCGCCCTCCCACGGCTCAACGGTGGATTTTCGTATAGAGGTTTAGTTGGTCCCAATCGGCCTATTTTCTTCATTCACCTGGAACTTGTCCTTGTCCTGGGTGATGGTCGATCCGGAATCCTGCCTCTGCAAGGCGGTGGAAGTGTTGGCCCACGGCCTGATGTAGGTGCCCAGCCTCGGCCTCCGCTGGATGCTGCTCAGCGAACTGAGGAGGTCGTCGCGCCTCAGGCCGAGGCCGAAATGCTGGTCGAGGAGGCGCGACGGTCGAGACAAGTCCTCTTCGTCCCACCAGTCTCGGAAGAGTAGCGGCACCATCGACATCTGCGTGAGAAACATTCATTCTCTGTCATGTCATGTATCTTATATGTATCTGTTACGCATCTGATATGTATCTGATATACTGCCTTGACGTCCCTGATTTTATACTAGGACATCCTAGGGATGTCCTTTGTCGGTACAAGGTACATACTAGGGATGTCCCAGGGACATCCGCTGGCCGCAAAAAAAGGGATCCAAGGGATGTCCTTCTGGTACGTCCCTGGGATGTACCAAGTACGAAGTAGGAATATCCCTAGGACGTCCCAAGGACATCCCTTCGACAAAAGGAAAAAAAAATTGGTTGAGTAGGGATTGAACCCGGGACCTCTCTAGCTTATCAGGCACGCACCTTACTCCATTGGCTAATATCGCTTCTGAAGATTTATGTACTAAACAGATTTATAAACATAGTACTCAACTACAGAAACCTAAATAAATACAACTTTGTTAGAATCTCATGTATAATTTTTATCATTCTTGGATGTTTAAATATAATGGGCATTATGCATTTACGATTTCTGTTTGCGAAAAATTGTCATTTCTCAAGTAGTTCTGAGACTTTATTCTTTATTTTCATTACAATTATTTTCCTGAAGAAAAACAAACATTTTCAAAGAAATTCAACTCAATAGTTTGATGAAATTCAATGACTCTGATGTGAATGGATATCAGATCCAGGGACACGAATAGGATAACCTCGGGATGTACCGGGCGGGATGTCCACTGCACAACCACTGCGGGATATCCCCTGGATGCCCCAATCATGTCCTTGTACCGCTGGACAAAAAAAGGGACGTACCTAAGACATCCGTGTTGTTAGGGAGGGTGAGTCAAAAATGTGTACCTAGCTCTCTAAAGGTGATAGTTCATTTAAAACTTAGTATAGTGATGAATAAACTAATGGCCCAAAATGTATATTAGGGGAGATGTATCCTTCCAAAGTTGATCAAATTAAAATAATTTCTCCGCATAACTTCTAAACGGTTGAAACCACCAGATTGATATTTCCTGCATGAATGTATGTTGATTCATCCTTCTGATACACTTTGTAATTTCTGAAATTGTTATAAAGCGTGTTTGAAGTGGGTGGGTCATGATTTTTTGTAGACAACTTTTTTCCTCGTTCTCTTTTTGGTAAAAAAACAGAAGCATTTGATAGAGCGAGAAAAATTACATGAGAACGGTACTCTTATCGGAAAACAAAAATTGTAACCGATTTCGAGATATTTGAGTTTTTGTAGTGATATCAGCAGATGAATTCATTAGTAATAATATTTCAGGAGAATTAGAATTTTTGGCTGGACACCATCTCTATTTCTCATTTTGAAACATTCCTTTTCACGAAATCTTTGCACAATACTCAAAATTGTTCTAGAATTTGGAATGCGTCGAGCGGGAAACAAATAACCAGTAATTTCTCAAAATCTCAGAAGAATGCATTCTTCTGAACAGAGACAATAGCATTGCTTCCTGTTAAGTTGATATAGATAGAACACGGTATTCACTATTGAAATCTGAAAATAAAAATGGTAAATTCAAGATTAATTAATGAAACCATCCTGTAACTCATTTGATTGCCAACGTCACCAATTGTCACTGAGAACTGAGAAGTGTCAAGAAAAATACGAATTCACAATACAAAAATCCATTTTTTATGTTGAAAACGGGAGCAGACTCGTTCCCGAAACTTTCAAAGATGAGTTAAAAGTCGATATTTTTTCTATATAACTTTGTGTCTCTTCTCCAAACCTTCTTCAATACAAATTGTCACCGACAAGCTAGTGAATTTTTCTTTCAGGCTCTCTGATAGGAAAATTCTTAAAACGCAGTGAAATTTTGGGGCAAATCATCTGATTTGTCCTTACTACGCGTATATTGAAATAATATTCATATTTTATTTTATAGAGACGAGGAAAGAAAATCCCAAATAATCTGGAATAATGAATTTGAATATCACCAAAGATATCACTAAATTTTTTTTAGAAATTTGATACCTTCTCGATCTTATACTTTCATGGACATCTACCTAACTCATTAAATATCTTGTTAGACATTTCACTATCTATTTATAGCAAGTTTTATTCTCCTATCTTCGAGCTATGGAATTTGCAGTGGCCTACCTTAAATTTAGTTTTTTTCTGATGAACTAACTTAGAAAGCACCTCAAAAACTGAACTTTCTCTCCACTGAACTCGAATATATACACCTTTGCGTAAATAAGCCGAGTTGCAACACAATTCTAGCTATTTCTAGAAATTTCTGATGTTATGATTCAAAACGTTGAAAGTTTTTCTATTGGCATGTTTCCAGAACTCGAAACACGTCTCAACTATGCAGTTTGGGATATTTCGAAATTCTAAAATAGATGGTGATTTTTGTTCAGGTATTCCTGAATCATGGTGTAGTTGTGAATGTTATATCGAGAGAGAAAACATTGAAAAATCTGTTGTTGTTATTGTGAATATACTAATCTGCAAGCTTCTTTAGCTTTTGAGAAATTTCCATACGAATTTTATTGTCAGAATAGTGAAATATGTGTATTAAATATGTGGCAAAAATAATTCACGAATATTTTGTCTTTTGATGATATCTGAAATTCCGTTTTGTTTTGGAGATGATGGGCAAACAATTAGTTTTCATGACATCGATCTCCAGTCAGTGAAGGTACTAGATCGAGCAAATTTTTCATCAAAGGTACCGCAAGGGAAGAAAAGAGGGTCAAAAATAGCTAATTTTTTTCTATTGAAGCTAGGGAGCCGTGCTTCTACTCCGCACTAGAGCATCCCTTAAGGACCCTGTATACCAAATTTGAAGATCCTACGACAAAGTTGAGTTTTTGGTTTGAAAATGAAACAAGGTTAACCCCTTTGAACTTTTTTCATACAACTCGAAGCGTCAGAAATAGCTGAAATCATACATTCAGGGTGTTTTTGATGTGCTGAACAAGAATCTGGAGTCCGTTTGTTCGTATTCCCATTGTTTCCCGAGATATCTGCGATCGAATATGAAAGATTGCTGAAATAATGACAAATCACTCGCTTTTTCGTGGGCAAAATAGGTGAATCAGATCAGGTCCGTCAAAAATCCACAAGCTTCCAAAAAGAAAAACTGATATGTCGAAAACAACAATATTTTTCAACCAGAAAGCCATAAAATATTTAGATATTACGAAATTCTTAGGTCTTTATATTGATGAACAATTATCGTGGACTAAACATATAGATCACCTGAGAAAAAAGCTCAATCCAATTACTGGCATTTTATACAAAATTCGAAATTTCATTCCTCTTAGATATTTGAAGAATATATATTTCTGTCTGATTTACTCAAAATTACAATATTTAATATCAATTTGGGGAAGCACAAGTATATCACATTTGAAACCATTAATGAAATTACAAAATAAAACAATTAAGTGCATTTACAATTTACATTACCTGGAACCAACTATTAATCTTTACAAACCAAAAAATCTGTTGAATTTATCATCTTTATATAAAATGAAAATTTGTTCTTTCATCCATTTTCTGAGAAAAAAAATAAAAATATCCAACTTGAACTTTACTGAAGTAAATACAATTCATACTCATGCAACGAGACAGTTGAATTCATTAATAGCAAACCCATATAACTCCATCATTGGCAAACAATCAGTATTCTACAACGGAATCATTTTATATAATTCATTACCTTATGATTTGAAACATATTGATGATGAAACAAGATTCAAAGTCAATATGAAAAAATATATACTCATGACACAATAAACGGAGCAATTTATTCTCATTTGAATACTTGGAATGGTTTTATTTTAATTATTATGTTATATTGACATAACTTGTTAATTAGTTTTTTTTTTATTGTTTTTATATATATATATATATATATATATATATATATATATGTTTATGTATCCCTATTATAAACAAATATGTTTCTTGGGGTAATAAAGAACAACAACAACAACATCGATCTCCAATCACTGGAGGTACTAGATCGAGCAATTTTCCATCAAGGGTACCGCAAGGGAAGAAACGAGGGTCACAAATAGCAATTTTTTCCTATTGAAGCTAGGGAGCCGTTTCTACTCCGCACTATAGCACCCCTTAAAGACCCTGTATACCAAATTTGAAGACTCTACGACAAAGTTGATTCTTTGGTCTGAAAAAGAAACAAGGTTAACCCCTTTGAACTTTTTTCATACAACTCGGAGCGTCAGAAATAGCTGAAAACATACATTCAGGGTGTTTTTGATGTGCTGAACAAGAATCTGAAGTCCGTTTGTTCGTATTTCCATTGTTTCCCGAGATATCTGCGATCGAATATTGAAAAAAAAAAGTATGAAAGATTGCTGAAATAATGACAAATCACTCGCTTTTTCGTGGGCAAAATAGGTGAATCAGATCAGGTCCGTCAAAAATCCACAAGCTTTCATGACATCGATCTCCAGTCAGTGGAGGTACTAGATCGAGCAATTTCTCATCAAAGGTACCGCAAGGAAAGAAAAGAGGGTCAAAAATAGCTACTTTTTTCCTATTGAAGCTAGAGAGCCGTGCTTCTACTCCGCACTAGAGCATCCCTCAAGGACCCTGTATACTGAATTTGAAGATCCTACGACAAAGTTGAGTTTTTGGTCTGAAAAAGAAACAAGGTTAACCCCTTTGAACTTTTTTCATACAGCTCGAAGCGTCAGAAATAGCTGAAAACATACATTCAGGGTGTTTTTGATGTGCTGAACAAGAATCTGGAGTCCGTTTGTTCGTATTCCCATTGTTTCCCGAGATATCTGCGATCGAATATTGAAAAAAAAAGTATGAAAGATTGCTGAAATAATGACAAATCACTCGCTTTTTCCTGGGCAAAATGGGTGAATCAGCTCAGTTCCGTCAAAACTCCACTAGTTTTCATGACATCGATCTCCAGTCAGTGGAGGTACTAGATCGAGCAATTTTTCATCAAAGGTACCGCAAGGAAAGAAAAGAGGGTCAAAAATACCTAGCTATTTTTTTCTATTGAAGCTAGGGAGCCGTGCTTTTACCCCGCACTAGAGCATCCCTCAAGGACCCTGTATACCGAATTTGAAGATCCTACGACAAAGTTGATTCTTTGGTCTGAAAAAGAAACAAGGTTAACCCCTTTGAACTTTTTTCATACAACTCGAAGCGTCAGAAATAGCTGAAAACATACATTCAGGGTGTTTTCGATGTGATGAACAAGAATCTGGAGTCCGTTTGTTCGTATTCCCATTGTTTCCCGAGATATCTGCGATCGAATATTGAAAAAAAAAAGTATGAAAGATTGCTGAAATAATAACAAATCACTCGCTTTTTCGTGGGCAAAATGGGTGAATCAGTTCAGTTCCGTCAAAACTCCACTAGTTTTCATGACATCGATCTCCAGTCAGTGGAGGTACTAGATCGAGCAATTTTTCATCAAAGGTACCGCAAGGGAAGAAAAGAGGGTCAAAAATAGCTAATTTTTTTCTATTGAAGCTAGGGAGCCGTGCTTCTACTCCGCACTAGAGCATCCCTCAAGGACCCTGTATACCGAATTTGAAGATCCTACGACAAAGTTGATTCTTTGGTCTGAAAAAGAAACAAGGTTAACCCCTTTGAACTTTTTTCATACAACTCGAAGCGTCAGAAAGAGCTGAAAACATACATTCAGGGTGTTCTTGATGTGCTGAACAAGAATTTGAAGTCCGTTTGTTCGTATTCTCATTGTTTCCCGAGATATCTGCGATTGAATATTGAAAAAAAAAGTATGAAAGATTGCTGAAATAATGACAAATCACTCGCTTTTTCGTGGGCAAAATAGGTGAATCAGATCAGGTCCGTCAAAAATCCACAAGCTTTCATGACATCGATCTCCAATCACTGGAGGTACTAGATCGAGCAATTTCTCATCAAGGGTACCGCAAGGGAAGAAAAGAGGGTCAAAAATAGCTACTTTTTTCCTATTGAAGCTACTCCGCACTAGAGCATCCCTTAAGAACCCTGTATACCAAATTTGAAGATCCTACGACAAAGTTGATTTTTTGGTCTGAAAAAGAAACAAGGTTAACCCCTTTGAACTTTTTTCATACAACTCGAAGCGTCAGAAATAGCTGAAAACATACATTCAGGGTGTTTTTGATGTGCTGAACAAGAATTTGGAGTCCGTTTGTTCGTATTCCCATTGTTTCCCGAGATATCTGCGATCGAATATTGAAAAAAAAGTATGAAAGATTGCTGAAATAATGACAAATAACTCGCTTTTTCGTGGGCAAAATAGGTGAATGAGTTCAGTTCCGTAAAAAATCCACTAGTTTTCATGACATCGATCTCCAGTCAGTGGAGGTACTAGATCGAGCAATTTACTCAACGAAGGTACCACAAGGAAAGAAAATAGGGTATCAAAATAGCTATTTTTTCCTATTGAGGCTAGAGAGTCGTGCTTCTATTTCGCACTAGGGCATCCCTTAAGGACACTGTTCACCAAATTTGAAGGCACTACGACAAAGTTGAGTTTTTGGTCTGAAAAAGAAACAAGGTTAACCCCTTTGAACTTTTTCCATACAACTCGAGACGTCAGAATGGGATGAAAAGGTACATCCAGCGTGTTCTTGTTGTGCTAAACAAGAATCTGAAGACCGTTTGTTTTTATTTCTATAGTTTTCTGAGATATCTGCGATAAAATATAACAAAAAGAAAGTGTGAAAGATCGGTGAAATATTGACGAATAACTCTTTTTCGTGGGCAAAATAGGTGAATTAGTTCAGTTCCGTCAAAATTCTCCTAGTTTTCATGACAACGATCTCCAGTCAGTGGAGGTACTAGATCGAGGAATTTTCAATCAAAGGTACCGCAAGGAAAGAAAAGAGGGTCAAAAATAGCTATTGTTTTTTACTATTGAAGCTAGAGAGCCGTGCTTCTATTTCGCACTAGGGCATCCCTTGAGGACACTGTTCACCAAATTTGAAGGCCCTACGACAAAGTTGAGTTTTTGGTCCGAAAAAGAAGCAAGGTTAACCCCTTTGAACATTTTTCATAAAACTCGAGGCGTCAGAATGGGCTGAAAACATACATTCAGGGTGTTCTTGATGTGCTGAACAAGAATTTGAAGTCCGTTTGTTTTTATTTCTATTGTTTCACGAGATATCTCCGCTCGAATATAGAACAAAAAAATATGAAAAATCGCTGAAATGATGACAAATAACTCTTTTTCGTGGGCAAAATAGGTGAAGCAGTTCAGTTCCGTCAGAAATTCACAAACTTCCATGACATCGATTTCCAGTCACTGGAGGTACTAGATCGGGCAATTTTCAATCAAAGGTACCGCGAGGAAAGAAAAGGTCAAGAATAGCTATTTTTTCCTATTGGAGCTAGGGAGCCGTGCTTTCACTCCGCACTAGAGCATCCCTCAAGGATGAATTTGAAGGTCCTATGACAAAGTTGATTCTTTGGTCTGAAAAAGAAACAAGGTCAACCCCTTTGAACTTTTTTCATTCAACTTGAGGCGTCAGAATGGGCACGAATCGTACATTCAGGGTATTCCCGACAAGAATCTGAAGTCCGCTTGTTTTAATTTCTATATATTGCTGCATGAAAAATATGCAATCGGAATTGAAAAATATTTGTCTGAAACAAGAAGAATTCGTTTTCGTGGGCAAAATTGGTGAATTCCCCGAAAATGGACTAGTTTCCAACATCGATCTCCAGTCAGTTGAGGTACTAGATCGAACCATTATTTATCAAAGGTACCGCAAGGAAAGAAAAGCAGGTCAAAGATTGCAATGTTCTCCTATTAGCTAGAAGGCTGTGTTTCTACTCTGCAGTTGGACAAGCTTCATATTTCGCCTGCCTCTCTTGAAAATTGTCTAATTTCATATTCGAATCATCTGTATTTTCATATTTTCTAGGATAAGGTTCATTGATCAATTCGAAACAAATAGAAAACATCTTTTTATTATACATGGACATACATTCACATTTCTTCATATACATTAGATCTATAAATATAAAACAGTAAGAACACGAATTATCCATAATAATTAAAATATATATTAAAACAATAATTTAAGAAAAATCAACATTGTATGCACGACCAGCATGCATAGAAAATAGTTCAAAATATACAGTGTACAGAGCGAAAAAAACAAATGACAAGCTTCTTCTTCATTCTTCCTCGCTCTGTATCTTTAGGAAGGTACATTTATAAAGAATTTGTTCAGTTACTTGAAAAAACACGATATGCGCTCTCTTCAGGTTATATTCAGTGTCTTGAGTAAAAATAATGTCTTAAGTCACTGTTGTCCAAACTGTGACCTGAAAAAAAAAGCGGTATTATGAAAAATACAATCGAGAGTTTGATTTATAATGCGGATGAATCGGAAAATAGACAATACCCGCCGTGAATTATGGAAAAAATTATGCGTTTTTTTATGACTGAAACATTTTCTTCAATACTATTTCATTGATCGAACATTCCACAATGTTAAATTGTAAGTAACGTGATTGTGATCCTGTGTTAAAATGAAGAATTTGAGCTAACTAACTATCACTTTGTATACTTTTACGCATACTCCCCGCTGTTGCTAAGACTACGCCCAATATGATTTCCACATATACAATGAAAAGTTATAATTCCAAAATACGAAATACCAATTCGAACTATGGATTGTATTCATAGAATTTGATCTAAAAAATAAAATCTATTTCTCTGCATTGTGATATTGGCATATTGAGGATATTGCTATATTCATACAGTGAAAAGTTTTTTATTTTTTTAAGCGTATGAAACCTGCATCAGATTGAAGAAAATGTGGTGATCAAATTTGCTTCGAAATGATTGAAAATTTCAGGAATGATTTCAATTTCGAGATTAATCAGTGGCGTACCATCAATGTCGTCTGTCAAAATAGGTATGTGAAATTCCATAAGAACGCCACTGGTGGCAATCCAAAAAAATGTGGTACACTATAACTGATGCCTCTTGATAAATAGTACATGTATGCCAAATTTTATCAGAATATCTGAAGTTGTATTACAGATATTAATAAAAAACTATTAATTTTGAGAAATTTACCACCCTGTATCTCAAAAGTTGGGACGTTTAGGTCATACCTTCATATGAAACTTTATTCTTAGAACCGGCCCAAGAATCAACTCCCCAAATATTCACATCCAATTATGAAACACCCTGTATATGACCTGTTTTGTATATAATCATATAAACGTTATTTTGAGACCGAAAAAGTTGAACATAATTACAATACAAGGAACGAAGATTATCTGTTACCTCCCTACCTTATGTTCGTTCTATACCTACGATATTTATTTATGTACTTTAGCCTAATTTTGACGTTTTTTTCTTAAACTGTATATTTTTGAAACAATAAATCTATCTATATATCTATCTTCCTATAGACAAATCGGCGATATTTTGCTGAGTTTCGCTAGCGCATTCTACGAACCAGCCAAGAACTAAGGCCAAATTTGGCTTCAACATTTTAAATGGAGGTGGATCATCTTGAGAGCGAAAATAATCAAGTTTTTTGTAGAAATTCCGATATATCAGTCAATATAAAAGTGTGACTCCTGGCATACCAGTCCGAATTCGTTATTTTTTCCTTTTTACTCACGGGTAAGCTTCGATCAGTCTGACTTGGAGGACGGCTTGGGGGGAAACATAGGCGACATCAACACGGTGCTCTGCAACTTTTGTATGTCCGCCAACGTCGTGTGACCCTGTTCGTCCAGCTCCTTCCATCTTATGTAGTTCTGACGCATGTACGTGAGCAGTTCCGGCATATCGATAAACGCTAAAAAAGAAAAATTAGCGTAAGCTCTAGCAGACTTGTGTAGTATTCGAATACCCAGTATTCTGAATCCTATTCAGAATACATTTGGCTGGTATTCGAATACTATTCGAATACATTTAATTGTGTATTTGGTATTCGGTATTCGACTGAATACTTTTTTGGTCAGTATTCGGTATTCTGGATTCTGAATCTCAGTATTCAAATACTCACTTTGTATTCGAATCCCGGTATTCGAATCCTGTTTTCGGATACTTTTGATTATTTCTATGAATATTGCGCTACGCTTAAACGGAGCCGTCGCTATGTATTATTGGTCGATCATATAAATTTTATTAGTTCCTATGTTTTATTTGTAATGGAATGAATTTCATTTCAAGTTTTATTCATTATTTGAGATTATTTTCCATTATTATCTTCCTAAACAATTATTTTGTGTTACCTCAACCTCATTGTGGCACTTATTTGGACCAAAAAAATATTTATGAAGTTTTATTTAATATATTTTCTATTTTTTTTATATATTTTTATAAATTAACTACATACATTAATATAAACGAGCTTTATGTGCGCAAATGTTTTTTTTTCAGTTGGAATATTCATAAAATATTCATATGTGAATGAATCCAGGTATTCAAATACATCGGTATTCGAATACTTTTTTTCTTTGTATTCGAATCTTGAGTATTCGAATACAATTCAGAGTACAGTATTCAGGATTCGTATTCGAATACCGGATTTCAGTATTCGACCCAAGTCTGACTGCTCTAGAGGGAGGATTTAGGGTAAGCTCTAGGGAACCATAAGTGAGTATTTGTTGAAGCACCATGAGCTTTTTAGCTGAAACTACGTGAGCTTCAGCTGGTGCAACGAAAAAAACTTGTATTTTTTTAGAATTGCTAGAGCTTCAGTCGAAGCAGCGTCATTGTTAGCTATAGACAATGGCTAGAGCAATGGAAGCTTCAGCTGAAGTAGCGTGAGCTGACGAAGATACTCTTCTGGCTGAATGCAGCTTGAGCTTCACACGAAGCAGTGAAATTCTCAGATGTAGCTATGAATGCTTCACCTCAAGATAGTGCTCGAGCTGTATGAGATTATGCTAGAAGCTTTTGCTAGAAAAGTGTATAGAAGCTTTAGCGAGAAAGTTTTTTTTTTAATTTGCAGAGGAGCTCTAGTTGGGCCAGATTGAATTTTTGCTGGACCAATGATAACTCATCTAGGAGTGATATAGCTTCAGCTGTTGCCACGTTAGCTGAAGTTAGAGCAATGAGTCTTTTATTGAAGCAACTGGAGCTACTGTGAGAAGTTCGAGTCGGGTTGGAACGCGAGCTAGATAAGAGGATGGCTTTTTGTTCGAATTTAAGTTGAAGCTGTGAAAATGTCCGCTGGAGTACTTGAAGCTTATGATTAGCTGAATCAGCGAGTTTTACAAGGAACCCTTTGCTGGAGTTTCAGCGGGAGCTTGGGGATCCTTCAATCGTCATAGCAGCGGAATCTTCAGCTGTAGTTGCAAGATGTGAGCTTCAATATGAACATTTTTGGTAGAGTTTAAGCTGGAACAGCGAAATCTTCCGACTACAGCAGAGGAAACTACAGCTGGAGTAGCGAGAGCTTTAATTAGCTGGAGCTGCGTGAGTTTTATAAGCATCATATAATTTTAACAGGAACATCTGATAGTTTTAGCAGGAGCAGCGGGATTTTTCAACCACAGCAACTTTATCTGTAGTACTTAGTGAGTATACTAGTACTGGTAGTGGTAGCTTCGATAGAAAGTTTTTTGGTGGAGTTATAGCAGATCCTTCATCTACAGCAGAGAAATTTACAGCTTGAGTAGCAAGAGCTTTAGCTAGGGCAACGGGGTCTTTCAGGTATAGCAGAATAACCTTCTCATGAAGTAGTTGAAGCTTCAGCCTATGGTGCTCCATCTCAGGTAGAAACTCTAGCTGTAGGATGCTTCTGCTAGACTACCAAAGCTCCAGATGAAGCAGCGGTAGCTTCAGCTAGACTAAGTGAAGTTCCAACCTTCATAGCCGAAATTTTCCCATAGCTTTCTGGTAGAGCATTTTAGCTGGAACAGCGTCTTTCGACTACAGGAGAGGAAACTACAGCTGCAGTAGCCAGAGCTTTAGCTGGAGCCTCGTGAACTCAAGAACCATCCTTCCAATAACAGAAAGATTTTTAACTAAAGTTTAAGCTGGGGCAGCGTGATCTTTTTACTATAGCATATGAAACTTCACCTGAAGTAGTTAGAGCGTCAGCTAAAGCAGCGAGATCTTCCAACTGTAGCAGAGAAAACTTCAACTAGAGTAATGAGAGCTCAAACTGAACTTACGTGAGCTATAGCTGGCACTTTATCTCGAGTTGCAACTCGAGCTGAATCAAAGGATACTTCTGCTAGAGCAACAGGAGCTAACAACAGTAGCACCAGCTAGACCAAATGAACACCTCAATAGCCTAGATCTCTCCATATACTCACCGTTCCAAGCCTCGAACATATCGTTGATGATGTAATCCACGAAGCCGATCTGCGACTTGGGTATGGAGCAGGTGAACCGGTCGAACATGGGCATCACCACGGGCAGCCCTTTCGCCTTCTCGTCGTCGGTTTGATGGAAGTACTCCTCGGTGATGCGGCGCGCCCACTCGACGCACAGCCTGAGGGGGCGCGTCGGGTTCGAAACGTCCGAGCACTTGATCATCATGCGCTTGACGAGGGTGACGTTCTCGGGGAGGGAGAGGGGCAGGAAATCGCCGTCGCCCTATACGAGAAGAAAATAATGTTGGGGCTGTTTGTGAAGAAATATTATTATTATACAGAGTGTTCCATAGTTTAACTATTGCAATACTCTATATGAGTAGAAAAATTGCTCCTCTTAAAGAGGCCTTCCGAAAGGTGGTTTGTATTATTATCTCCAAAACAGTTTTAGATGAACAAATAATGGAATTTCGTATGTATTACTCACTTTCTAAATTTTATTTAGGAGAATATTTGAATACTTAGTTTACTGTGTGTGACACGGTATGAAATACCTGTAATTCTTTTATTTTCGACAGAAGAAGGAAATTAAGAAAAAGCAGAATCACAGGTTTTTTTCCTTCTCAAAACATAAGATACGTTTTCACTATCTGCAAAGCTATCTGGAAAGTTATACAGGGAGCAACAAAAAGTCTATGAGTTTTGAATCGAATGAACACCTTGTATATTTCTTCACCATTAGAAAAACCTTTCGAATAGCTTTCCGAAAATACTGCACTCAATATATCTTCTTTATTTCTCAGTTTATGGGCATTCAAAACTAACAGTTTGATCGATTTTTGAACGAATTTCGAAAAAACGTCATGACAATGATTGCAAATTCAGGTATATTATACAAGGTGTTTTCGAAATAAGTGCACATATTCAGCACATCAATATGATAAAGTCTAAGGATTTTTTCTAATTCTTCTAATTGAAGAGAAATGTCATCCCAAGTACGGCACTTTTAAACAATTTAAATGATTGAACTCCATAGTACACGTCGAGCTTTCTCAGTGTTTGAAATATTTGCACTCATTTCAATGCCAAACTGTATATATAGACAAGTCCTACTTTCATGAATCATTCATCAAACTTATCTTTGAGAGCCCATATTTTGAGAAATACAAAAAAGACGGTATTTTCGGATAGCTCTTCGAAAGATAATTTCAATGGTGGGAAATATATAGGGCGTTTAATATTATTTTAATACGCTTTCTGCTGCTTCCTGTATACTCTTGCAGGTAGTGAAAATGTATCTGTTGATTCAGATATCTTCCGTATTTTTTCTACTATCAAAACTGAAAGAGTTATAGGGGGTTTTACTTTATAACTTGTCACCCGGTACTTTTAACCTCCACTTTTTCGTTAGTAATCATGTTTGAAAATACACCACAGAAATTGAAAATTGTGAGACTTTTTCATTAGAAAGGTACGTATTATTGTTCCACTAGTACAAAACATAAACGGTTGAACAATTGGATGAAATAGTATTGACTTACTTCTAATTCGGAGCTGGACGATTTCGTACAGAATACGTTCACGAATTTGGCCAAGTGCTCAAAGTGTTTTGTCATTTCTGTTGCTAGGATCATGTCTATCACGTTCGATCTCGCTATCTTGTACGTCTCTCTGTCCAGATTCTTAAAGATGTTTATTCTCTCATCACCTACGAACAATAAAAAAAACCTGAACCTCTCAGTGTGATTCATATCATTTGGAAAGCGAGAGGGCTAAAAACGGATCCCTGTGGGCCATCTACATATCACAGAAGCGACTCGATAACTGTTCAAGGATGTGGTGAAATGAGGATAAGATTGGAACTTTCAAATGATGACCAGAAATGTTGTTCCGATACAGGCTTTATTCCGAATTCAACTGACCGTACTGAATCTGCTGATTTTTCATTCCGAGATTGAAAAAATCACTGAAAGTGACAGATACTTGTGAGCAGACTAGCAGACATACTTATTCATTCAAAATATTTCGACTAACATTCTGCTGAAATTGCTGACTATCAAAAGGTAGTGTTGCTTCATCAGTGAACCGTCATTATTTTAGAGGAGGAATGAATGTAACATTTATTTCACTCGAGCTTGAATCGTCATAGTCAACAATCATAGAAACTATGGAGGCTACAAGAATCGATTGCTCTTCCATGTTGAATACTAAATTTCCAAAAATTCAAGCAGGAGGGTAAATATCTAGTTCAGATAAACGAGAAACTACAGACTGATAAATTTCACCAGCTGATCAACTGCAGCTGACTACTGATGAAAACCATGATAAAGTGTTCCGAATTACAGCACTGTATTTTTGATTTTTCATTTCGGAACACATATTTTCAGTGGATCTACTGACAGTGGGAAAGAAAGAGATCAAAGGACAAGTGACCAGATTATTTTGTACCCAATATGGGTTCGAAGGTGGTTTATCGGGAGACGATATGACTAGACCTGAGTTCCAGGAAGTGGTTAAGTCATTGTCGATCTGAATGAAAAACTAATAAACAGTTAACGAGTACTATACACTATACTAGAGAGACTACCGGCTCTTTTCTTTGTTTAATTCGAGTATGTTTGTGCCTAACTATAGTGATTTGGAATTTCATTCCGAAATCTTCCATACATCGGGAAGCGAAGAGGCCCCAGAACGGATCCCTGCGGGCCTTCTCAACGGTAACGCGGTAATGTTAATGGGCTTACCTAAGGTGAGTTTGAAGGTGAGCGCGGCGTGGTGTGACTCAAGCACGGTGACGTCATTGTAGAGGATGGCCAACGGACTGTCGGCGTTTGATAGGAAAGCGCTGGATTTTCCCGGATGGTCGACGTCATGGGCGGCAGCCGCTATCAAGCTGGTCGCCTCATCCAGCTGCTCCATGATGGACTTCATGCGTTCCTTCTCCAGGAAACCTGCTGTGGCCTAAAAAAGGAAATTTTAACATGAAAAAATGTCGCTCAGCTCAACCGAGAAAAAGATATCGGTAAGTGCTTGTAACTTTTGAACGGGGCAGACCACTGATTTTTTGAAACATCATCGTGAGCTCTATACCAAAAACTACCAGTAAATATAATTTTGAATTATTTCATCCATACTCTAGAAAACTGAAAAAAATAAATTCAAATAATAATATGTTCATTTCGAAATACACACTTTCTGCGTAATTTGAAATGGTGTCATTTTATTGGTGTGACTGATGTGACGTATTAGTCCCAACACGCCTATTGTCTTTGAGATGACCAATGATACTGGACACCACTGCAGAATGGCAAGGAATCAGAGAGAAATAGCTACAGTACAATACGAAATATGAAATGGAATATGCGTACCAATTATTTTTTAAGGGGGTCGAATTATGAAGAGAATATTGAATTGAATACGAAAAATATCAGAACTGAGACGTCATGAGCGTACCCATATCTTTCTTTCCGAGTGGGTGTAGAATGAAAAAAATCGCGAAACATCGTATTTTCTTGGTACCTCTTCAGTGTCTCATCTGCATGACGTCAGGGCAATCAACGACGTACCAATTTTTTTGTAGGGGGTCAAAATTTCGAATCAAGCACAAAGAAACCAACTTTTCACATCATGGGCGTACTCAATTTTTTTCTGTAGCAAAATTTTGAAAAAATCGCGAAAAATCGTATTTTTTCACCTGCATGACGTCAGCGGCGTGCGTCGAATTGTGATAGCTGTTCTCGACGTGATAGTTGGCCTCGATGACGGTCAGCCAATTGAACAACGTTTTCTCGTCGCAGTTCAGCACCGCCGCCACCTCGAAGTGATTGAACAGCGACATGCCGAGATGCTGCAGAGGCCTTCTTTTGGTCAGCTCTTCCAGCCGGAATATGTCGAATTCCCACGCCAGCGAGGATTCCAACAGGTCTTTCAAGGCAGCCGGGACCTACAGAGAATATCAAAAAGTAATGAAAAGACTCTCTTTTTTGTGGTTTTAAGAAGACAAGTTTTATCCGTACAATTTGAAGTTGCAACTGTGAATTGATGCGAAGACTGATGAAAAAAAGTGTTTTTAGATTGGCAGTTTGTTCAGAAACCATTTTTAGACATACCGCATTAGAATTCGAGTATTCGTAGATAAGAATGCAATTATTATTATGTTGTTGTTGAGAATTATCAATGTCAGAACATTTATGACAAAATAACTAAAGTTCAATGAAGTTACCGATTCTGTTTTCATTCTACTGGAGTTATTCATTCAATAACACCATCATATACAGTCCATTCGAGCTCAACACATGTGGAAAAAAGTTTTATCAACAATATCAATGCAAGCTTTTTTAATCGGAAAAATTTCTGTTACTAATGAAAGAATTTACCAATCAGTAGTTTTATAAAAATCAGATGATTTGCCCCAAAATGTCACAGCGCTAAAAAACGCACTCCTAGAAAACTCAAAGAAGAAATTCAAATAGATCTCTAAGCTAGCATCTTCTTGACCACATTTTTACTTTTATATAAACTTACCTTGACCATTCCAGCTCTAGAAGGCCTAAATACTGCAGAATCGTTGCTGCTTCGCCTCGAAGATGCCGAAAAAGTAGGTTGTGGCTGCCTCTAAAACAAGCCACAAAATCTGAAACATTGTTTTTACACGAGAAATGGAGAGTTCATAACGAATTTATAGATAAATTTCAATAGGTATTACAAGTTAAAGAAATCACTAATCAATAATCTATTTCGCTCGTGCAATTTTTTTCATTGTCCGGTAATTTATTGAATATATCCAAATAGAGCAGTGTAGGTGAATCTTATTTGTCTTATCGAAAACTGAGTAACATCAAGAGGAAATGAATCATGTCTAGTTTAGCGAAAATGAATATCATAGTTTCTTGTTTAAATAAAATTGGATTTCAAACTTTTATCTATGATATTGTATGAAGTTTCCATGCTTTCAATTTTGATAATTTCATTCAATGAGAATGTTTCCTGTTGAATTGAATAATTAATTTTTTGGTGTATCATAATATGCAGTACTTTCAATGTGTTTTCATATAGAGTGGTATTCAATAAAAGAGAGTACAAGTATTAAAACGAGAGGTTTACGTCATCTTAGTTCTAGTTGTGTAAAACTGGCTCAGCCAATGCTTTGTGTTTTTAAGAACCTATGACAACTTTACTGTCAACATTTGGTAAACAGTCATTCCTGATAGCCTCTTCTACTCAAATAGGAGGACGTTGATTTCTCTCTGATATATTTGTACGATTTTTTTGATACAACTGTTATTAAATTTGGTTTTTCGCACTATCTCCAAAAATTAATCAAATGCGACTAACTATATGAAGATATAGTGGTAAATTAGCAACTTTTTCATCAAGTTTGGAAAAACATCGTGTCAGAGGGCTCCAATAATAGGATTTTTTTTTGTCAAATACTTTCATTTTGTTTCAATGATTCATTTTGAATTTTGAGATCGAGAATTATGTATAATATTTATTTTTTTGTTGATAAGTCATCTATTCAATATCATTAGTATTTATTGCTCCAAGCCCGTTTTCGAATTTCGACAATGAAAAAATAACCGGAACAATTTTTCTTCAAGTAGGTACTTCGGAATATCGTCAATGATTTTCTCTTACCGACAACAAGGCCGTTATCAAGTCCGAAACCACCGGTTCGTCCGTCCTCATCTTCAAGTCCTCTTTGACATGAGTGGAGTACATGTCCGAATTCTTGAGAATGTCCTCGACTTTGTCCAACAGTTGGACGACGGTCGGATTTTGGTTGGCTCCATCACGAGCCTGATCAATCAGACTTATCACCTAAAACAAAATTAAAATAAAACAATTTCACCAAGAACTGTTCTGTGAATTTGTTTTTTTTTGTCTGTGTGAAGACCGTAAATGTGTACACTTTTATGAATTTTGTGAAAATCGACAATTAAGATCATTTTTTATTCTAGTGCTACTCAGCTACAAAATTGCATATTTAATATGTAAATTTTGTTCACTATTTGTAATCGTCAATATAATTTATGAATGATTCTATACCAGTAACTACTGTCTGATTATTGATGCCATATCTATTAAATTATACAGTAATTCTGAAAAAGTTGACAACAGATGAAAACATGTTTTATTAACAACTTAAGGAAAAAAGTCATTCTTCATAAAAAGCTCTAAAAGGTCTAAAACCGAACATGTAATTAAAAGATATCATTCTTTTTCAGTCATATATACGACGTATGTCAACAAATATGAATTCTGATCAAGTGAATAACAAAATTTGATATCCATCGTAGATAGACGTAGTTATCAATTCTAGTCAACTTTTCTCGTTAATGATATTCGAACGGTACTTTACTTTTGAGTAAAATTAATATTTTTTGACATACCTCGTATAAGACTGAACAAATTTGATATCTGATATTTACATTTTCGGTTTTAGGCCTTGCAGAACCTATGAAGTATGACTTTTTTCCTTAAATTAATAATGATGAAGTTTTCTATTGGTTGCCAACTTTTTCAAACATACTGTGTACTTTATATATACAGTGCCCGTCTAAAGTCCGTTTCCCCCTATTATCTTTTGAACCATCTGGTACATCGAAACGAAAAAAACCTACATTAAATGAAGAAACGATATCTCAAAGCTTTGAAATGGCGGCTGAACACCATATGGAATAATAATTTTTTTTAAAGGAACACCCCATACATTGTTCTATTTCCGAATTCTCAACAGAATCATCCAATAAACTGTACCTACTTCTAAATTCAATATGTTTCGAGATATTAACTTTCGAAATGTGACATTTTCGTCATATTAAACAAAACCAATAAATCGAATTTTTATTTATTTATTTATTTCAGTTATTGCATTACATTCTTTTCTTCATTGATACATTTCATACAAATAATATATAAAGTATAATTAATTTTCTAGTAGGAATGACATGAATGATCAGACAGTAATTCCTGGTATAAGATCATTCATTATTTTTAATCGAGTTTGCTCAGGAAAAAATCAAGTTATCACGACAACGATTTTTTTCCAAAGCAAACTTGATTGAAATCAACATTCGAGTTTTTGGTTGGATTTGAAATTGCCATAATGTCACTTTCCAACGTTAATATTGAGTGTATATATGAGGTAATATAGAGTGTTTTGGATAAAACTGAGGAGAATTATGAGGACATATCGAAAATAAAAAAATATACGTGTTTCATTAACAAAAAAAAAACAAGAGAGCGCTCAGCCATCATTTTGGAATTTTGATCTGTCATTTTTTCATGAAAATGTAGGTTTAATCTCCTATTTGAGCCTCCCAAGCTTCGTTGCGATATACAAGGTAGTTCAAAAATTGGTAGGGGGGGGGGGGAACGGACTGTAGACATGCACACTGCACAGTAAGTATTTGCATAAAAATTTCAATACTGAAAGATGTAATGCAATAACTGAAATAAATGTATAGATGAATAAAATTTCAATAATCTATATTTTGTTGAGCAAGTTTGAAAAACTCCAGCTATTGATCACAGTCCAAAATGGAATTTGTTCATGGCACACATTGAAAGAAAAATTGTCATGAATGAAAATTTCCTCACTTTTGTTATTGGTGCTTCTATAGGCAACGCATTCAGTTTGGCCAAGGACGTCCTACGCAAATAGTCGCTACCTACGCTCCTGACATCGTTTGAGCCTCTCCGGATCGAATGGATGCTGCCTCTGGATTGAGCTAGGACGTTCGTATCCGTAGGCACCAAGTCGAATACGAGAATGAAATGTGTGGGTAATCTGAAATAAAAAACAAAACCGTTCAAGATGACTCAATTAAGAAATGATCCACTGATGTTTGTGAAAAAAATGTGCCGTTGAAGCGCAATAATTATTATTTCCTAAGGTAATTAGTGTGTTTAAAACAGTAGGTAATAATAAGATGTTCTTAATATTCAAAATGTGACGTTTTGGTTGTTTCAACCAATTCATTATTCTAGCCAATCATCGGTATTATACTGATAACACTGCATGGTCCTCGATAATTTACATGGAACTGTCAAAACAAAACTATAAGAGAAGAGTAAAGACTCCACAGCACAACAGCGTTGATTCTCTTATTTTTATAGATGATGATTGAATAATAGTATATTATTCAACGAGCAATAATGAGGGCTATTATGCACGGAGGTTGGAATCTTGTTTCATCATCAATATGTTTCAAATAATATCGCTAATGATGAATTCAACTGTCTCGTTTCATGAGTATGAATTGTATTTACTTCAGTAAAGTTCAAGTTTCTCAAAAAAGGAATAAAAGAACAAATTTCCATTATATATAAAGATGATAAATTCAACAGAATTTTGGTTCGTAAAGATAAATAGTTGGTTCCAGGTAATGTAAATTGTAAATGCACTTAATTGTTTTATTTTGTGATTTCATTAATGGTTTCAAATGTGATATACTTGTGCTTCCCCAAATTGATATTGAATATTGTAATTTTGAGTAAATCAGACAGAAATACAGGGTGATCCACGGTGGATGGCATATTAGATGTATCTGGAGAACGAAAAGACAGAACATTCTGAAAATTGAGATGCTCTGATAATTGAACATTCTCTATCCGTCTAAAATATTCTTATCGATACAGTGTTGCCACTTCTATCAGAAACAACTAGCAACTTTGTTATTTCAAATGGAACACCCTGTATTTTATTGCATTATCAGATTCTTCCTGAAGAGCTGATTTCATCAATGTATCACACTTGGGGTCTAGCAGAAATGATTACAGAGATATCGGGTGTTCAAAATCGAGATTTCTCAATTTTAGGATTTTTTTTATGTCGAAACTATTCATTATCGATCAAATCGGCTTACATGTCCCTATCTCAACTTTTGATGCACTATCTACTGACATTCAATTGGAACAGATACAGGGTGATCAGAATTCTGAATCTTGGAGCACCCTGTATTTTTTTCCAATTAAATTCCAGTAGATAGTGAATCAAAAGTTGAGATAGGGACATATAAGCCGATTTGATCGATAATGAATAGTTTCGACACAAAAAATCTCGATTTTGAACACCCTATATCTCTGTAATCATTCCTACTAGACCCCAACTGTGATACATTGATGAAATCAGCTCTTCAGGAAGAACCTGATAATGCAATAAAATACAGGGTCATTTATTCGAAATAGCAAAGTTGCTAGTTGTTTCTGATAGAAGTGGCAACACTGTACTATTTAAGAGGAATAAAATTTCGAATTTTGTATAAAATGCCAGTAAGTGGATTTATCTTTTTTCTCAGGTGATCTATATGTTACTCTGAGATGAATCATCGAAAAGCAAATTAGAATTGTCTTTGTATAAATCGGAATGAAACTCACCTTCCCGAAGAAGAGAAAGAAACGGCTTTACAAGTAGTGACTATATTATCTAGGGACTTCCTTTTCAGTGTCATGGGTCCGCTCCATTCCCTACCTCTCAACAATGAGGATCCCATCGTGCTGATTTGCACGTAATCGTTTATCAACTGTTCGTGCAAGTTCCTGCCGACAGCCTCCTCTTGTCTCACGCCGAGCTGCTTCTCGCACGATCGATTAATATACTGGAATGAGAAAATTCAAATCAGATTTTGACCCACATCTGGAAATGAAAACTTCGATCTTTTCCCACATCTGCGAACGTGAGATGTGAAAATTTGTCGCACAACTGATAATTAGTTTTTCTACAAGCGTGCGTGTTTCACCCTATACCCGCACGCAATTAAGTTTGGGAAGTGTCATTTTCCCGCAACAGTGCGGAAAAATTTTCCCACACTAGTGCGGGAAAACAAAGATATGATAAAATCACTAGTAATGAAATCCATCAAATTGCACTATTTATTGTAAAAATTAAGAAATATTGAGAAATAAAAATTGATTATTATAAAAATCCCCCTATAGATTTGGATTGATCTGACGGGAAACGTCAATTTGTCATGCCAATCAAACCTCAAATAAGTTTGAAATTGTTGAAGTGACAGACACAGCGTTACTGTCATTTTCGATTCAGTGGAAATGCCACAATGTGATCAAAAACTTCTAGCTATAGGGATTTGATACAGATGCGTTATCACCAACGAAGTCTTATGAAAGGTATGAGAAGCTATACACGCGTTTTATTGAATGGTGCAACAATAAAAAAATGAAAAAACCGAATGAAGAATAGGTATTTTTGGCTCATTTCATAGAAGTGTCTGGAACCTAGAGACCAAACTCCTAATGGGCCTGCTGGCTTCCGCAATGAACAAACATAATGCGTCAAACTGTAAGTTCACAATAGCTATTACTAATAATTAATAGATAGAGAATATATATCTCTTGTTAGTTGTTTCTATTTGCTTGAAGAATTAATTGAACGATTCAATCAATTTTCTACGCTTGTAGAAAAAATATTGTTCCTAACTCATGCGGAAAGTTTCTTTCCCGCACTCGACTGCTTGCCCGAACTCCGCTTCGCGTCGTTAGTGTCAACGGCAGTCACGTGCGGGAAAGAATCACTTTCCGCACTTGTTAGGAAAATTACTATTTTCTACAAGCGTGCGTGTTTCACCCTATACCCGCACGCAATTAAGTTTGGGAAGTGTCATTTTCCCGCAACAGTGCGGGAAAACAAAGATATGATAAAATCACTAGTAATGTAAGTGGTTGGTGATGGAATATAAAAGTTTAAGTTTGTTTGTTGCAGTATTAAGTATGTATGTTCAGAATCATCCATCAAATTGCACTATTTATTGTAAAAATTAAGAAATATTGAGAAATAAAAATTGATTATTATAAAAATCCCCCTATAGATTTGGATTGATCTGACGGGAAACGTCAATTTGTCATGCCAATCAAACCTCAAATAAGTTTGAAATTGTCGAAGTGACAGACACAGCGTTACTGTCATTTTCGATTCAGTGGAAATGCCACAATGTGATCAAAAACTTCTAGCTATAGGAATTTGATACAGATGCGTTATCACCAACGAAGTCTTAAGAAAGGTATGAGAAGCTATACACGCGTTTTATTGAATGGTGCAACAATAAAAAAATGAAAAAACCGAATGAAGAATAGGTATTTTTGGCTCATTTCATAGAAGTGTCTAGAACCTAGAGACCAAACTCCTAATGGGCCTGCTGGCTTCCGCAATGAACCAACATAATGCGTCAAACTGTAAGTTCACAATAGCTATTACTAATAATTAATAGATAGAGAATACAGGGTGTAAATTTGAAAACTTTCAATGCGAATATCTCGCGACAGAAAAAAGTTAAAACAACGCCGTTTGGCAAAAATGCTAAAGAGTTAAGGGGAACTAGAACCACCATATTTTGGTCAAGGGATGAGTCACCCCGTCGGCGCGACACACCCCAACTTTGAAATGTCAAATGGCACTACCTTTTTTGTGATGCCTCAAATGAACAGTCTCAGTCAGTAGTATTCACCTGTACAACATTTTTTTTCCACCCACTACAGGGTGTACGAAAAATATAAAGTCGAATAAAATGAAATGAATTGTGTTAAAAGGATATTTTATTTGATCAGATGTTCAAAATGCATTCCATTCTGTTTTAAGCAATAGTATAATCGATGTTCAAATGCCATTCTAATATTTTGGAACACATCTCTTGGAATATATCGGCATTCTGCATTTTATTTTATTCGACTTTATGTCTTCCGTTCACCCTGTAGTGGGTGGAAAATAAGTCTTGTACAGGTGAATACTACTGACTGAGACCGTTCATTTGAGGTATCACAAAAGAGGTAGTGCCATTTGACATTTCAAAGATGGAGTGTGTCGCGCCGACGGGGTGACTCATCCCTTTACTGAAGTATGGTGGTTCTAGTTTCCCCTATCTCTGTAGCATTTGTGCCAAACGGCGTTTTTCTAACTGTTTTATTTAGCGAGGTATTCGCATTGAAAGTTTTCAAATTTACACCCTGTGTATATCTCTTGTTAGTTGTTCCTATTTGCTTGAATAATTAATTGAACGATTCAATCAATTTCCTACGCTTGTAGAAAAAATATTGTTCCTAACTCATGCGGAAAGTTTCTTTCCCGCACGTGACTGCCGTTGACACGAACGACGCGAATCACTTTCCGCACTTGTTAGGAAAATTACTATATTGACCACACCTGAAAAAGAATTGTTCCGCACCTGACGTTGAAACATATTAGTTCGCCTATGGCTCATGCTGCAAACTTCATTCTCGTAGGAAATCACTATCATTCCGTGCTCGTTAAACAATATACTATATTCCACATCTCGAAATGAAGAATACGATTTCATCCCACACGGAAGGAAAATAATTACTTAACTGAAGATGAGAAATTAGAATTTATCGTACAACTGGAAATTAAATTTTGTGCATACCCAAAAAACACTGGTCTCAAGATGCAATTTTATCCCACACTTGCAGATGATAAATACAAATTCATTCACACCTTGAAAAACATGGACCCACACCTGGAATATTCAAAATAATATCCCACACCTGATAATAATGATCACGAAGAATCGAAAAGAATGAATTTATCCCACACAAATACGATTTCATACCGCATTTCATAATGGCCATTCGTCCTGCACCTGATGATTAAATATACAATATTTCTTGTGCAGTGGTCTTGAAAGATGGAAAACAAAACTTCTTCTGCACCTAGGAGAAATTTCTCATACTTCAAGAAGAAACATTATCTCACACTTGATGGATAATACGATTTCATCCCATGTAGACCCAGTTGAAAAAAAGGAAACAATTCCACACCTGACGAATTTTTTTTATAATCGTGCGTGCTTAACCCTATACTCGCTCGCAATTCAGTTTGGGAAGTGTCATTCTCGCGGAAAAGTAAAAAAAAAAATTTCCTACACTAGTGCGGAAAAATCAATGATATGATATTAACGCAAAATATAAGTGGTCGGTGATGGAATATAAAAGTTTGAACTTGTATGTTGCAGTAATGAGTATATTTGTTCAAAATCATCCATCAATCACTATTCATTTTGAAAATGAAGATATACATAATATTGATAAATAAAAATGTATTGTTATAAAAATCCCCCTATAGACTTGGATTGATTGAAAATGAAGTGAAGAGATATATTTATATGCAAAGGAATGATCAAAGCTGAGAGACTATGAATTTCCGTTTTTTCTTCTTCGCTGTTCCTTTTCTACCCCTTCTTGTTCACTATTTGTAATTTCAATTATACAACAGTCGATAATAGTCCATGAATGATCTTATACCAGGAATACTGTCTAATGATTCATGTCATTCCTACTAGAGGATTAATCATACTTTATATATTATTTGTTTAAAATGTATCAATGAAGAAAAGAATGTAATGCAATAACTGAAATAAATAATAAATGAAAATAAAATCCAACACATGAAAAAGAAATGTCGACCCACACCTGATGATGAAAAATAAAATTTGATCTCACGAAGGCCTTGACAGGCGACACATGAAAATCATGCCGCAGCAAGCATACGACTTTACACAAAACTTGAAACAGGAAAACTGTTCCACACTTGATTATGGAGACTAAGATTTTATTCCACACCTGATTATGAAGACTCCCATTTTATCCCACACCTGATGATGACAACTACGAATTCGTCCCACACCTGAAAAAGGAATTTCGACCCACACCTGATGATGAAAAATGAAATTTGATCTCACGAAGGCCTTGACAGGCAACAAATGAAAATCATGCCGCAGCAAGCATACGACTTTTACACAAGAATTGAAATATAAAAACTGTTCCACACTTGATCATGTAGACCAAGATTTTATCCTACACCTGATTATGAAGACTCAAGGTTGGTAGAACTGATGACAACTTTGTAGAGGAAGGTTGCCTCGATCGCACCTCGCGAGTAACCTTGAGTAACTCATGACGTAATAGGCCCTTTCTTTTGCACGAAAAGTGTAGCACTCTCGTACACTTCGTGTATGATATGTACGCCGGCGATTGGCCGGCGCATGTATTGAGTTGACAGTTGTCAGTATTTTCGAATATTTGAACCATTTTGAACTTAAAAATGTAAAAATGATAATTTGTTCGGTCACTTCATGTTAAAATTCGTACAAGTGTAATGAGACTAGTGAATTTAGTTTGTGTTTCCATTAATCTCCATAAGATGTGTCGATTCGTGAGAAATGGATTCAATTTTGTGGACGTAATTTTAATTCATTTAATACCAAAACTTGGCGAATATGTTCTGCCCATTTCGATGCCGAGGATTTTGAACGGCACAAGCAGAATTGCTAAATCACACACCAAAGAGGAGAAAACTCAAGGTAGGAATCCCATCAATAATACCAAATACAACAAGAGAAACACCATAAGTATGAAAGTTTGGAAAAATGATCAGAACCAGACCAGTTGTGAATGTTGAGATTCTTGCTGAACGGGTAAAATGGACATCAGAAGATATCACACGTGTTTTCAAGTTGAGATATTTGAGCAAGAGTACGTTACCCAACGAAGAGGAGCTATGTTTATTTGAGAGATTCCTTGAACTATCCTTTATTATAGGTGCACTTATAATGGTAGTGTTATTTTTCATTAATTTTGTTCAGAATCATGTTTTGTTATTTTTTTATGCTCAAATACTTCGATCAATTGCTCTGTTTTTGACTACAATATAATCAAACAATGAAATACTATTTCCTCTTGTATTTTCTATAGGTATCTAGGAAAGTTTGTTAATTTTTCAGAATACAGAGTTATATTGATAAAATAAGTGATCTGTTGTGTACGAGTATTGGTCCACTGCTACTACTTCTGGATCATTAGTTGATTATTCTTATATTTTCTATAGTTTCTTGTTCACATTATCTGATTTGCAGGATATTTATATAGGATGAGTAGGTTCATAATCAATGCACAAGTAATCACTAGCTCCATATAATTATGCTCCATACCTCAAAACACACATACCTGGTACCACGACCTGGTAAATAGCCCCTGGAACAAAATTTCACATAGGTATTCCTCTCTGTACTACTGATCCATCCAAAATTGCCTTCTCATTTCGAAGATTGAAGGTATTATACAGAAGTTTATGTAAATATCCATATTTTATAATGGTACTTACTTAGAATTATATACTATAAATTAATATAAATATGCTGAGCAGACCAAAAAGTTTGTATCATGTTTGTATACTCTATTTGGTAAACATTTCATGACATGTCGCTTCAAGGTTGACAACTTGTCGGCTTACTGCCTGTGACGTCACGAGTGACCGTTTTCCCCCTTGCCGCACTATCGATCGAGGCAACCTTCCTATACAAATTATAATCAGTTCTACCAACCTTGTGAAGACTTCGATTTTATCCCACACCTGATTATGAAGACTCCAAGTTTATCCCACACCTGAAACTGAAAATTCGTCCAACACCTAAGGATAATGGCAAATCCGACTCACCTGAATTTTGTACGCGTCGTCTGTGACGATGACGACGTCTCTGCACTTATCCAAGGCGGCGTAGAGGCCTTGACAGGTGGCGTGCTGAGCCATCGGCCGGATGTCGCTGTGCCTCAGCAGGATCATCTCGTTTACGCACGCCACCACGTTGGTGGTCTCTACGAGGCACTGCAAGAACGGATTAGTGAATACTAATGGGAAAGACCACTGATTTCTTGAAATAACATCATCGTGAGCTCTATACAGGGTGTTTCAAAAAAACCTGACCCCCTTACTAGGGTGGGTAGAACATTGTAGAACTATAATAGCGCATGGCGCATGCGTATCATGCCACCAAATCCTTATGGATATTCATTTGTTTCATATTTTTGGCTTCATCCTGGCACCCGTTATGATCCGTATTGTTTATTAATACGTATATGGTAACGGCATCCGTTATCGAGATACAAAAATGATTTTTCAACACATTTTTCAAGATTATGTCGAAACTATTAGCAACATTGTGATGAAATTTTGTATGGATGTTTCTTGGGATCTGAAACATCGCATGCATTTGTTTTTATATCTGACTCTCATAGAGGGCGCCAGTTACACGTTTCGTACCGAGTAGTTTTGAATATGACTTTTTTGAGGTTAGATTTTTCAATCCAAATTTGATGTGAACTCGAACATCATTCAATTTCACACCAAAAAGGTGCTCCTGGTAAAACTCGATACTGTGTTCCGTTTTCGGAATATTTCGATTTGAAAATGATGAAGTGATAACTGTTACTGGTATAAAGCTATGTATTAGAATTAGTATTATGAAAAATTATCACCTATTTATTGGAAACCGAAAACAACAATACATTTCTGATGCTAAACTTATTGATTTGACAATGAATCACAAGAATAACATCGAAACAGATTTGATAAAGAACATGGATTACACAGTTTTGTTGTATCTTGAGCAGAAAGTCTATGCTACATAGGTAAATTCACGTCAAGAGTTGTAAGACATAATAAAACACCACTTAAATGACCTAACAGCTGATCCTCAACTGTTTTGAAGAATAATACATTCTCAAGAAAAGAATTTAGAATCGTGTATTCGTCGAAACGTAGGACATTTTGAACACTTACTCTAACTGATTCAATATTTCATGTTTCTAGTCAAATATCTCTCAATTTTTTACCAATGATCCTTTGTTCCATCAATAACTCCAGCACAAGAATAAATTGATTGTTTATGAATCTGAATAAATAGGTAATTTTACTCAATAAAATTCATTTTATACCAGCATCATTGTTACTCCATTATTTTCAAATCGAAATATTGCGAAAACGGAACCAAGAGTACCTTTTTGATGTGAAATTGAATGCTGTTCAAGTTCATATCATATTTGGATTGAAAAATCTAACCTCAAAAAAGTTATGGTCCAAACAACTCGGTACGAACCGTGTAACTAGCGCCCTCTATGAGAGTCAGATATAAAAACAAATTCATGCGATGTGTCAGATTTCAAGCAACATAGGTACATACAAAATTTCATTACAATGTTGCCAGTAGTTTCGACATAATCGTGAAAAATGTGTAAAGAAATCATTTTTTCAACACCTTGTATCACGAAAATGCCGTTAGGACATTTTTTCATTGAGCAGACCCAACTTATTTTGCAGTGTTCAGGTTTTTTTGAAACACCATGTATATAGCAAGAAACTACCAGTATACAGGGTGTCTGTAAAAGGTTGGGACATGGTTCGGTGGCATGTTCTGTGACTATCTAGCGAAGCCGAGCGAAAGCAAAATTTGCGAGTCGAACAAAGTCACTTTTGATCCGAATGAAACATGCTATTTTTTCGGCAACCGAGAGAATTAACTGAAATAAATATGTGAAGTACCCACCAATGTGACTTACTTAAGCGAGATTATTATAATACCTTTATTATAATAATATGGGCAAGTAGAGAGAAGCAAGACCTTGTCACATTAGAATTTTGGTGGAAGATTTTACTTTTCTACAATTTGTGTTGACACGCATCATCAGATACTACAGGAACGAATTCATTACTATACCCGAAACGTGGATGCCGTGCCATATGTATGCAATGCAACAAATAATCCGTCTGGTGAGAATATTCTACCTGCATTACAGATCAGGTTTATTCAATTCTCAAGGATGTTCGAACTGTAGTTTCAATATAAATACAACCACAGAGTGACCCATTTGTGTATTCTATTGGATCGATGAATCCATGAATTCATTTGGACCAGGCGTCAGCTCCAATAGCAAATACCGCACCAGTGCCAAGTAAAGGAAACAGAAGTGGGAAATGTTAGGTTAGTGAGCATATCAAGAATATCAGAAGAAGCTATCTGGGACAGCCCTGCACTGATGAGAGCCAACAGCTCGAAATCGGTCTGCAGGTAGTCAGGTGTTCCTGAACCACTTAGGCGCAGCTCGTCCATACGAATTATTGCATATAAACTACTCAACACTAATTTCGTCGCACACCAAAATGTCGCCCCTGTTATAATGTTAATAACTTTTATCAGTTTAGAACAATTTGAATTTGGTTCACACTGTTCGATAGCCCAGTCCTTCAGCTATAATCTCGTACTTCATTGAAACATAAGGGTATTCACATAAAACTCTACATGGTGTTTTCCGACACTGTGCGAAATTTCGGAATATTCAAAAGGCTCTCAAATGGCGAAAAAAATGTTTCTCTCAACTTCGACAACAGAGGCATGAAGATGATCTCATTACCTCGAGATATTTCGCGAATCAACTTCCTATCTCTCTTATTTACAGAGTGATCTCAAAAAAACAACTTTTTGGTTTTGCAGCCATAACTTTTTTCCACGTCAACCGATTTTGGAAATCTTAGGCTCATTTTGAAGATAAAACTTCAGATGAAGAGATCTGAATATCAGAATTGACTCAAGATGGCTATCAAAGATCTAGAGTTTTCTTGAAAGTGACCCAAATCTGGAACGCCCTTCGAATCTTGGTTGGGAGGAGAATTGAATGAAAATCAACTTGTTCTCGGAAAAACAATTCATTCTGGATGCGTCCATATTTTCCTCGCTCTCAGTAGTCAAGAATTGTGCGTGAGAAAACACAATTGAAACATGTTCTTGCAAAAACATTAGATCATTTCTCCTATGTAATGCATGGCCCGCCGTAACCAACGTTACAAGAATCACAATGAGTGACTGACAAACCCGATCAGCTGAGGCTCATCATAAATGACAAGAGCAACGGATTTTGATTTTTTCAATAAAGTGATTTCTTTAACAGTTGTCACGTACATACCATGCGATTTAAGAATATGGAGAAGTATTCAAGCAAACAACGTTTATTTATTGTAAAAACGCATTTCAAAAATTGTGAAAGTTTCACGAAAACAGTTTACCAATTACGTAAGTTTTCAGTCGCAATAATGCGCCGAACGAATCTACAGTAATAACCAAACAATTCGTGTCGGAGATAAGCCCTTTGAATGGATCGGACTGTCGTGTTTAGCAGATCCGCGATTTGGAGGGAAGATAACCCTTGTTCCCTAATTTGTGGAATCAGTTCCAACTGGTCGGGCGTTAGATGCGGCATCGAAACTTTCAAAATTTGTTTATGATTCGAAAACGACGTCTAACCTGACTTGTCTGTCACTTACTGTGATTCTTGTAACGTTGGTTACGGGCCATGCATTACAGAGGAGAAATGGTCTGATGTTTTTGCAAGAACATGTTTCAATTGTGTTTTCTCACGCACATTCTTGATTTCTGAGAGCGAGGAAAATATGGACTTATCCAGAAAGAATTGTTTTTCCGAGAACAAGTTGATTTTCATTCAATTCTCCTCCCAACGAAAATTCGGAGGGCGTTCCAGATTTGGGTCACTTTCAAGAAAACTCTAGATCTTTGATAGCCATCTTGAGTCAATTCTGATATTCAGATCTCTTCATCTGAAGTTTTATCTTCAAAATGAGCCTAAGATTTCCAAAATCGGTTGACGTGGAAACAAGTTATGGCTGCAAAACCAAAAAGTTGATTTTTTGAGATCACTCTGTAAATAAGAGAGATAGGAAGTTGATTCGCGAAATATCTCGAGGTAATGAAAAAAATTTTTTTCACCATTTGAGAGCCTTTTGAATATTCCGAAATTTTGCAGTGTCGGAAAACACCATGTAGAGATTTTATGTGAATACCCTTATGTTTCAATGAAGTACGAGATTATAGCTGAAGGACTGGGCTATCGAACAGTGTGAAACAAATTCAAATTGTTCTAGACTGAAAAAAGTTATTCACATTATAACAGGGGCGACATTTTGGTGTGCGACGAAATTAGTGTTGAGTAGTTTAGTTCGGGAGAATGTGATTATAATGGTCTGCGTGGCATATAGCCAGGAAAGTAGTTGTTTTCCTCCCGTTATTCACCATTTTCGTTCATTTTATGAAATATTATTGTGGTAATGACTTTGAGTGTCTCTCTCTTTGTACACTATATTATGATTTGAGGAGTCAGCGAACATTTCCGGGATATTTTTAGTTCGGAAGAAATTGATCCATTCAATCCTCCCTCATTGATCCCGTGGATTTTTTTTTTCGTACGCCTATTATGTGCGAGAGCGCGATGAAATATTGAATATAATCCAGTCGTGCTATACGCACCATGGATGGCTTTAGCATTTTAGCATAGACTACAGAAGATAAACTATAAGACAGTTCACTCGTTCATTTTTCGACTTCTAAGAGATCTCGCCGCAACCTAGCCGACCGCTGGATTCTGCCGGCTAACGACTGCCGGGGCCTTTGAAATCGCAATCTAATTAGCTGTCAACCGACCGCAACCATTTGGCGGTGCAATGATTTATAGAAAAGCAAAAAATGCAATGTTGGGCTGTACCGACAAACGGATTTCACTAAGTGAACTATCTTCTAGAATTCAGTAATCTTTGATTTTAGTGTGTGTCACAAAGCGAACGATTTTCCGACAGTTTTCCATGAGATTTTCTGCCATCTGAAAACTTTCGTTCGATACAGTGGAAAATTGGCTTCTCAGATGTCTCCTCTGATTCGGGTTTACTGAGGAAATCTTCTGAGGGATAAAATGGGGCGGATGATTGAAATGTACACATTATGGCTTTGTTTCGTTTAGATTAGACACAATGGAAGTATTGAAAGT